GCTTTACAAAATCCCACTCCTGCCCTCCGGCCAATTAATTATGAATAATAAACTATTGCTCTCTGCTAATGCTAAACTTTTCACCCGGCACAACAACTCAAATGAAACAGCTAATTAAATGAAAAGCGCCTAAAGGCAGTCGAGGTATTGCCAGCGAAATAAGTTGCCCTGCAAGCGAATAACTTTAGGCCAAAGTGTACCCTGTACCACCTCAGTGTGTGCAACAAGCTACCTGACTAGCCTTATGATTAATAATAAATGTAAAGCATTCGGCAGACAGGGCTCAAGTCAAAAGGCAACGGCAAAAGTAACTGTTAATGAAATAAAAAATTTAATTAGCAAACGGTAGCGTAAGGTGTGCCAGCTGAGCCAAGACGAATATGGAATGCACTGAGAGAGGTAGGTGAGAAAACTGATAGAATATTTTTATACCCATCAGATTAAAATGATTTTGCTCAAATTGTATATAAGACCCTATATATAATTGTTGATGAGCTCGAGGAGTTGAGACGATTGTCCGTCCGTCTTTTCGTATTTGCCAACGCGTCGATCCCAGAACCTATAAGAACTAGAGGCTTGAAGCTCTTTCCTATAGGTCCCTGTATACAGCGCATTATTAATTTACATAAATTTCTAAATACTTTTTCTTTTCTTAAATATATATTCAACTAATAAATATTTATATGTGCATGCACAAAATTCACATGGTTATAATTTATTCATTTTATTTTAATATGAATACCTTTTCTTTTCAACAAAAATGCATGATTTAATATTCAAGTAATAAATATTTATATAACCCATTAAATTTATATGAGTATATTTATTATATTATTATTATTATTTTTTATTTTTTTCTTTAATTAATTCACATTTCCTGCCGAAAATATGAAATGCCCTCTGATAGTGTAATAAAAAAAACCTTAAAGGAAAACGCAAACTCAGCTGGAGAGCCTGTTGAAGTGCGCCGCCTACAAACACAAATAAAAGTATAAAAGAAAAAGAAAAAATATGTCCAACAGATGTGTGTGCGTGTGCACCTGTGCGTGTGAAGCTTTTTGCTTGATTTGACTTGCGAGTCGCGGCCTGAACGAAAGCATCAATAAATTCCCTTTTTTTTTATTTTTTTATTTTTATATTCAGCCAAAAAGCATAATGAAATATTTTATCGAGTTTATTAAGCAGACATATTTAAAACCATTGGGACGAACAAAAATAAATAAATAAACGTTGAGCGTTCGAAAAAGTTGAGCGCGATCGCAGGGACTTAAAAGATTTGCCGTGAGCCCGGTGAAAAATGGAGTGTACAAAGGTAATTTCAAATTCAGGGCACAGAGAAAATGCGTGAGCTAAACAAAGCTGTCAGGTGTCAGCAGCAGCAATAGACACACACACACACACACACACATAAAATAACATTATCACAAGCCCACTCAGTAGGTGCTGTTGAGGCAGGTTTTTTATTTGCTTCTGCTCTCCTTTTTGAATTTGTGTAAAGAGGAAGAAGGCTGCTGTTAGTTGTCGATTTTGATGCCAGTCGAAAAGTTGGCGAAGGCTTTCAACAGCAGAGGCAGAGTCAAAGGCACAGGCTCACGCATGCACACACACTCACACGCTCACGCATGCACACACACACACACGCTCACATACATCATATGTATGTATACGCACATGCACTAGCTACTTGGCTATTAGAAGATAGACCAGCCACGCCCAGCGCCTATAAATAACAGCCGTTATGTGTGTGCGTGTGTGTGTGTGTTTGTGTTAGAGGGAGAGGCATAGGCGCAACTATTCAAGTGGCCAATTTACTAACAGACCACACACACTCACACACACACTCACGCATACGAATACACCGACATGCAGCTTTGGTAGCTTTAGTCCCTAGATCGCAATTTGATGTGGTGTTTCATGTTTCAAATTGAAACTCGGACCAAGTGGCAGGCAAGCAATAACAACAACAACAATAATTGAAATGAATTGAATGAAAAAATATGAAAATCAATTGAAGGAATTATTTTCGTTTTCCTTTTCATTTTTTCTTTTTTTCCATAAACGAAATGGAAATGATTTCAGCTTGGCCAAGTGGCAAGCTCAAGGCTTAGTGGGTTTTCTACTCTCTCGCTCTTATTGATGGTTATCTATCTACATACATATGTATGCATGCAAATGTTCCCTTCTCTGTGTGTGTGACTTATGAGACAGCTTGAAAAGCCTAACTGAATAGGTCTTACTTTTGTAAGTAAGCCAATTGATTCCTGAATAGCGTTTGATTAAATTACTATGTTGAAATCTGAACACTACTATTTAAATACATCAAATAAAATAAAAAACAAAAATTAAAGCATTCCGCTTGCAATTAAAGCGAAAGTTCACGAACAACTGAAAGCAATAGAGCAAAGCACTAATTTGCACTAATAAAATTACAACTTTGAGCATTTAACTTAGATAATTCCCAAGCTTTCACATACACAACGAAACAAACACAAACACTGCAAAGAGCAGTTGAGAGCCATTGCTCCTACCTCAGACACAATTATCGGTAAATGCTCTCTCACTGCAGTCCACACATTTATATGCATGCTAAGCAAAGCTTTGGCTATCCAGCGAACTAGTTAAGAAGCGCTCAGCTTTATCTTCCACCATGCCTCTCTTTAACTTACGATCCAATTGTGGGCTTTGAATGAATGCATTAATTTTGGTTTTTTATTTTAGTTTATGTATTTAAATAGTAGTGTTCAGTATTTTTGTTGAAGACTCTTAACACAGTTACATATCTCCAGATATTAACCGGTTTAACCGTTTGGCTTTCTCGGTTGCTGTTATTCGTTAGACTGCGAGATGGTTGGCAATTATAACTGCGTCGGCCAATCTTTTCTGCTGCTCTAGGCATTGCTAGATCCTTATATAGCTATGAGTTTCTCGCATATGTATGTATGAATGTGTATGCAAGGAGTTTCATACATACAAGAAATCAACGTCGCTTATTTAAATTATATATAAATATGTGCATACATAAATATGTATGTATTTAAATATTGAAGATTGCGCCTTTGCTGCAATATGACAATTTGCTGGAGGCTCTCAGCATGCAATATTAATTAATATTTTTCTAGCAATATTTATATTTTATAAATCGCATTAAATGCATATGTCTATATTCTATTGCAAACAGGCACTTAGCTAATTATTATTTTATGTATGTGTATGTATGTATATCAATATCACACAGTTGTTATGGCATGTAGTTATATATATAGATACATATGTAGGTATATGTAAAAATGTATTTACATAGAATATGAAAAACTAATAATATAGAAATATACGCAATATAAATATATGTATGTGTCTGTGGGACCAGCAGTCGAGTAAAGGTGAGACTGAACCCACATACACATACATACATACGTATAATGTCCTGCTCTGAGTAAGTAGTTATCGTACAGAATTTTGAGGGTGTAGTTGGGATCATGTGGAACTTTTTAGCTGAGTGACTATTTCGCTCTTTTGCATTATGCTAAATAACTATTTTGGCTACTGCATTATTTTTGCGAGCTTTGGATTTAGAACAGGAAATCATCACGAGTTTGCAGTGCATTTTTATGCGTGGCTGCATTAGAGTTAATTAAAATTAGTTTTGAACGCTTGGATTTGTAGAAAAGTTTATAAGCTTGTATTTCATACATACATATATGTAACAAATTCATATGTATTTATAAAGTGAATTTTGTACATATATATTTTATGTATGTGAGTATATATAAATTTAGCAGCATTAAAATTAAGTACTTCAGGTTATCCAACTCTTGAGCTAAAAAAAAAAAAAGCGTTGCCAATTCGTTGCGGTTTTAATGTTCCCCAACTTTCTGTATAATGATAGTTGTACGGAGAAGAGCACACACACAAACATACGCGCTCACTCACATTCATGCACAGTTGCCAGTGCACTGGCGTTAAGTGAAGTTTGTCAGGAACGGGAAATCTAATAACAGCAAACACAAACACAATAACAGTTAGTTGGTGTCACGTTGTTATTACGTGTTAGTGTGCGTGTGTGCTTGTGAGTATGTGGAGCCGAGCTTTAATTTGTGTTTGGCACTGCATATTAAATAGACACATCAACTCCCCAGTCCCCACACACCTACACATACGCGCCCCTATGGACGCAATGTCTGATTGAATCGATGGGGCGGCGCGTGAGGTGGTTTATGTGTATCGCTTCCTAGCTGAATCGAATTTTGGCAAACTGAGCTGCTCACACTCACACACTATCCCTCTCTCTCTCTCTCTCTCTCGCTCTCAGTTATGTGTGTTGAGTCACTGATTACGTATACGCCGCCTGGCCGCCTCATAAAAAAGGCATTAAATGGCGATAGCTGTCGTTGTGGCCAAACTCTGGTCAACCTGTCCAAACATTTCGGCCTCCTTTTGGCCTAGCGCAAATTGATGTGACATATTTGATATTAATTGACATCATGGGTCCTGCAATTTCAATGACCCAATGCCCACAATTCAATGAAATTCCTTGAGCTCAATAAATAACAAGTAACTGAAATTGAAATTGCAAACATTTAGTATTTATTATTGTAGTTGAAAAGTGATTTCATTGGGTCCCAACTAACTTCTGTTGTTATCAGAAGTAGTTCGGACTATACTCAAAGCTTCTCTAGAAAGCCTTAACTAATTAAAATTTCTTTTTTAGACAGGTTTAGCCACTGAGCTGATTTGTTTAGTTATTTACTGCACTTTACTCTTTAAATGCTGTCTCTGCTTTAATAGTACACAAAATTGAATAGCAATACATAACGTAATTCCACAACATTGTTGCCCTAAGCTCTGTATTACTGTGTTAAGCAGACAGATTAGACAAATATACACAGCACATTTTATAACAGTCAACGACAGTTTCAGCTGTAGCCTTAAGACAGCACATTATTTAGTTGGGAATTGTAAAATAATAATATGTAAATTGTAAAATTTATAATATTTTCAGGGATCGCGACACGAACATCGGGAGCTGAGACCCTAAAATGCAATTGATGCAAATTCATGACCTCAAAATGTAAGTAAAGAATAAATGGTGACTAAGAATGCTTTATTATTCAGAATCAGACATTTTATTTTTAATTATTTTTTAGTAATCTCATTATTCTTTATTTTATTCTTTATTTATTTCATTATTCTTTATTTAATTATGCTTTAGTAGTCTCATTATTTATATGCCCATATAAATGCTGCGACCATATTATATATGAATCTTATTGTACGTTAAAAACAATTCTCCGCTTAAGATTGATATTTAATTGATTCTCCTTCCCATACGATTTCTACACGATTTCAAAGTGCTGAGCTCTAGATTTCAGATAGCAAAGCTTTTGCTTTCCATTCAATTGCAATCGTAAATTATAGCTATTGCCCGATAACACACATACACTTACACTGCCACACACACATATGCCTATAATTTTGTGTGCTACTTACAGCTTTAGCTCAAATCCCCAGAAATTAAACCGCAAACACTAGACACAGCGCCACTAAAGCCACACGCCACATTCCTGTATCTCTCACCCTCTCTCTCCCGCACACATTCTCGCTCTCGTACACTTGCACACATACACACATTTTTATGATATTTATCAATTTGGTTCTGCCAAACATTTTTTAATGCCTATAATCCATTTGCTGGCACACGCTGCGTATACGCAATTTAATGACATTTCCTTGCTTAAGCTGTTCAATGCAATAATTGATTCTTTACGATGTTAGAAAAATATTTAACTGCAATTTTTTAGCCTCTTGGGCTAAATTGTCTTAAATATCGCTAAATTATATATGTACATATAAATTAATAGTTATTTAAATAAATATTAGAAATATACATTTAATATAAATACAATATTCAATTATATTATTAACATAAAGAATTATTCTGTATACTATTGTGGGCAAAAGTAAAGTGAATTTTCAATTACTTTCACTATAAATATATGACTCAAAGTTTTGGATTTTCTATCATGCATTTATATACAAAAGTATTCAATAGTGATACTACTCCCAATGACTATTAAGTCGTAGCAACTTCTTTAATTATTGATAGCATGCAGCTCTTATTACACAATAGCTGCTAAATATAAGAAAATAAATAAATACAAATTAATTAATACCAAAAATAAATTTATTCTTATAGCCAATACTCGACATGGCTGCAGTATAAAATATTGTATTTACTTTCCTTATGTTTCAATAAGTTTTCAACTCAAATAAATTGATACTTCGCATGGACATACTTACAACTATGCATATACATGTATATATATATATTTATAAATATGCATATGTGTATATAAAAACAAAAATCTCTAGCTAGCCGGCTGTGCACTCATGTGCGCTTATTATTTATGCAAAAGTTATCCATTTATGTTGCTCAAATATTTACAAACGACTTTGGCACGCATCGCGCACAGTTTGACAGCGACTTTTAAATTGTGGTTGAACATACGTTTTTGACGGCTTCACTTGCTAAGCTCGTAAATGCGTGGCGCATTGGTTTTCAATTTGAACATGTGTCCCGGGTCCAATAAGTGAGCTATGCACGCACATACATGCATACATACACATATGTGTATGTGTGTGTTCATGTTCCTGTAAGCCATTGATACTTTAATGTATGCACCAGGGGATAACGGTTTATATCAGCTCTCCGCTGGATTTTGTAGACGCGCGTGTGTGTGTGCCGGCTCTCAAAGCCCATTTATTGAGGCTTGGGCTTTTGGTTTTTTTGATAGACCTCAATATATGTATGTGGCGTTATGTATTTAAATGTATATATAAATGTATGCATAAATATACATTTGTACTTATATATGAACATATGTATATAAATGTGCATATCTTTGGTTATTTTCTTCTTTATTTTTAGATTTATTATTAAATACCTTTTATATAATATATATTATATTCTAGACTAATTTCGAAAAGGCGTCAAGTTTTAGTTTAAATGACTTTAAAATGATACAAGTATTTATTAATCTAATGCTATAAACTATAATACAATTTGTCTAAAATCAATATTGGAACATTCATTTGCCATCAATGCTAAAGGTAATTAAATTCCACCCCAACAATTCACAACGGAATTAGACTCATAAATTGCATTACCAACGCAATCTCCATCTATTGACAATGTAATTAATGGGTTCGATGTCAGTGTCGATGTCACTCGATGCTTGAGTAAACAAAGATGTAGGCACTATCTGTTAGCCGACAGGTGTAAGGGTAAACACACATTGTTTATAGCGAAACTCAATACCATAGAATATATCTGTAAGTATTTCGATTGGGTGGGGCGAATCAGACAAAATATTTGTATAATTACCTTTAATCAAATTACACATTGGCTAATGGCGTCTTCAAGCTATTTATATATACAGTATAAATATAAGTATAATAAAAGGTAAAAGATCTAAGAATCAACTTTGCTTGTGATGTCAACAGACGCTGAGCTGATAAAGGATATATGATTTAAGGGTTCGGCTCTCCCATAGATTTTACCAAATAGATTTTACTCAGAATATATAAACAAACGCTTAAAAAGTTTTTTTCTTATATATAATTAATGTATTATTTATAATTAATTACGATTTTGGCTGATATGATGAATAGCTGTTATACAGGTTCTCATTTATATTCTTACTGGACATAAAGACGTATCCCAATTGATGAAGTGGATATTTTGGTATTAAGAACTCCATGCGTTGATTGCGCATCAAGGCACATTCCAGATAGGACCTATACGTATTGAAAGCTACTTTGTGGCACTCCTCAGATCTTCCGTTTTTGAAGAGGTTATATCTGAAAGCAAACCACATGTTATAAGCCTCGGGTCCGGTCCATTGGGCGGAATTGGAGTTGCAGCCCGAATATATTTTCGTTTTCAGCCAATCCATCACTACGGGCTTGTTATATATGGTGGAATGGCCAATGCATACAGAATCCAAATGTTTACTAAAAATGAAACGAAATACTATAATAAAATTCGTGTTTCAGTCCGTAACATAAGTAACTAAACTGCGATCAATGCAAAAATTCGCTATGAATTAAATGTCTTACTCCCTTTAATACATACATACAAGAAAAGCTTTATTGTCCAGTCAACAAATATTCATAGCCCACTCACTTTCATCCTCATTATATGCTGCTGTTCGCAGCAGAGAATCGAGTGACTTACATTGCGTGCATTTTAATTATATGTGTGTGTGTGTGTGTATGGATGTGTGTAGATACTTAGCTCTAATATGTATTAGTGAAGCTCTCCATATTTCATACACAAAAGTGCTCTAATTCACGTCTATACGATGCAGTCTGTGGAACCTGGGTACAACTACTAACTGAGTGAGCAAGCACATGTATGCTTCGCTCTTTTACGATGTTATCTGTGGAACCTGTGTCAGGATTGCACATTTATGTGCTCGTGCTCAGTTTTCTTTCTAATGTTGCAGCCCCATCGATTATAATAGAAACAGCGAGCTTAAGGTAATCTAATAAGCTCCAACATTGGGAAAGCGCTCAATTCACTGTGCACAAATCCACTCAATCTGTTACGGTCCAAAGTTGTGGAACTTGTGTAAAATTACTCAAGCGGCAATTATACTCAGCAAGCCAATGCACATGTATGTGTATGTGTAGCTTTCTTATTCGCGATCCTAGTAATACATATACATATATACATGAGTGAGAATGTTTGTGCTATGCACAAAGGCGCTCAGCTCCATTCTCTTACGATCCAATAAGTGGACCTTGTGTAACAGAACTGAGTACGCTCAGAGCAAGAGAAGTACAAATGTGCGTGGTTAAGAAATAATTACCCAGGATAATAGTTCATTGGCGCATTGTTCCCTAGCAATAAATTTGCCTTGGTCGCGCGACCCCGTTGATTGATTTTTAATATCATCTGCTTAAGATCCTTATTATGGTTCACGGCTAACAGGTTCGGAAACTTTTCGAACTTTTCTCCAGATGAATCAAAGTTGGCTTTTGGTTGTTTGTTTATATATTTTATTGTTGTGCCAGACTCTCTATTATCCTTATTTGTGGGTCGTAAGGATTCGATCATTTTAGATCGATTATGCTGTGGAATATTCGTATTTTTTCGATTCTTGAGGGCGTGATGTAAGATGAACATATTATCTATTCTATCTCTTGGTTTTGAAAGATTTTTGCGATTTTTGTTGCTTTTGATTCTTTTGTGAAGTTTTCTTGGAAAAATGCTGGCGATTTTTTTTGATTCTGCTAAATCCATATCATCCAGTGGAAGCAAACTTTCAATTTGATTTACTTTGCCAGCATTTTGAACGTCTTCCATTGATATTTGCTGACTATTTGTATTGTCTACTTGCTTTAGGCCTTCTATTGGAAGTGAAATTTCACTTTTATGAGACTCTACTACTTCCAAGTTTTCCTTTGGAAGTAATATTTCGATTTGGTAAGTCTTGTCATCATGTGGATTGTTTTTATATTCCAGCGGCTTTTCGTTTTCCATTGTAAATCTTTCATTTTTATAAGACTTTACTATTTCCATATCGTCAATTGGAAGTAAACTTTTGATTTGATTAACCTTCCCAGCATTTTGTTGACCTTCCATTGATACTTCATGACTATTCATGTTATCCACTTGTTTTTTGCCATCCGTTGGAAAAAATCTTTCATTTTTGTAAGACTTTACTATTTCCATGTCTTCATCTGAAAGTAATCTTCCCTTGTGATAAACCTTGTCATCATATGTTACGCCTTCCATTGGCAATGAATGTTTCTTGTTGTCATTTTTTACTTCTTTGACACTTTTTATTAGAAGTAAGCTGTTAGTACTCGAATTCTTAGCTAATTCCATGCCTTCCATTGGAAATAAGCTTCGATTCAAAGAAACTTCAGCTTTTGGGTAAGGTAAGCTTTGAGCACTTCCAGGATCATTTTGATTGTCAGTCTGCCTTCCAGGTTTTTGCGTTGGAAAAGCACTTACATCGTCCACACACAAAAACTAATTAAATATAATAGGAAAATTTTGAGAGATTCAAATGATTAAGACTGGAACTTACGTTCACTATATAGCCAATGGTTAAAAACAATATACAATTTGTGTTCAGCATTTCAAAAAATTAACATACTAATATATATATTTTTGTATAAGCCGACTAGGAATTTGTGTGCTATGAAGTCAATTACTGGAACTGACTTCTAAAGAGCAGATAATTGATGTAGAAATCAAATTGGCCAAAACTTGAATCTTAAAGTGAATGGAAAAGCTTAAGCAATGTTGACTCTGGCAGCTGACAGCACTAATTCATTAAGATTGGTTGGTCTGAAAAGCGAATATGTGTTTACCATTCATTGCTCTATATAAGAGTAGTCAAACATAGTTTTACAGTTTCAATGGCGAGCAGCAGAACGAGCTACTGAAGGGATTGACCCGACGGACTTTATGTGAAATCTAATCAATCAGTATTGAGTTTCAGTTTGTTTGTCGACGAGTCCGAACAAAAACAAGCAAACATGCTGCAGTTGGGCGTCAGCGATTGCATAATGCTCGCTCAGAGTGGATGAAGAGTTAAATTATTTATGGCAGATTTTAAAAGAGACGCGGCTTAGCAGTCAAAAAAGCTGTGAGTCTCAGAGTTTTGAGCTTAATAATATTTTAATGTAATGATATATAAATATATTATATATTAATTTATTATTATTAGATTTATTAATATTTATTTTTCTCTATATGATATTCGGACATAGTTGAGTGGACGAATAGGTGGACAGACGGATGGATGGGCGGATAGACAGACGAACGGTGAGCATACGAACGGGTGTACGGATGTATGGAGATTGTTAAAAACCAATATACTCTTTACACGTCGTGAACGACTATAACAAAAAAGAGGTTTAGGCGTTTTCATGTTTATTATGAATGACGCAAATAAACTCGTCAGAGTAAAATGATTAATATTGCGAACACGATGCGCTGTCCGATCGAATTATTGCTGCTAAGTGATTTGAGTTGGGTAAACGGCTAAAAAAAAATCAAGAATAAATATACTAAAAATCCATTAATATACAATTCCCACCAGTCCAATCCATCTGCTGTCTAGACATTTGCTGACATCAATGTAATTGTTAAGTACGCATAAAAAGCGTTTTAAATAAAAATAAAACGAAACCCCAATTGCTTCTCTTTCTCTCTCTCTATCTCTCTCTCTTTCTCTCCCTCTCTCTCTCTCTTCCTTTCCCTATATACACATATATACAATTCGAAAATCCGTAACTAATATGCTCTCTGGCACTTGCCAAAACAGAAAGAGAATAAAAACTTCAAAGTATCCTAAACGGCAATCAACGTTACAGACGAACGCCAACGAACCGTAAAGGCAATGCCAAAACAAGTCAAGCCATTAGCCGGACACTGAGCCAGGGCAGCGGTTTAAGCCAAGATTCACATTAGCCAAATACATTTTCCACTGGCGAAATATTTGTAACAATAAATTCTACAGCAATTGCAGCCTTAAACTAGAAAAAAAAGCAAAAAAAAATCGACCACAAAATTTCATATTCAATGAGGACAAATTAAATGAAATGTAACCACAAAACTTGCACAAATCTATGAGCTCCAATTACTAAGAGAGAAAGAAGCCGCTGAATTTATGGCCAAATAACTGCGGGGGCCCCTTCGAGCAACGATGCCTTTGCCGTTTAATGGGCTCATTCGAAAATTAAAATGCCATTTTCATACCCTATAAATGTGTGTAGGCAGCAGATGCATGTGGGTTTATAATTTAGCGACAACAGACTTGAAGCCTTTTTAACATTTTCATTAATAATAAATGTAAAATTATAAATGATCAAAAAATTATTAAAAAAAAAAAAAAAATATTAAATATTACACAACTTTTTTTAAATTTCTTTTTTTGTATAAAATATATAGAATAATGCGCCAATCAGGTACCGACAAAAGCAAAAAAAATAAATAAATAAATAAAAATAGTAAGAGCTATACACGAATTTTCACAGATTTTGGTTTACTTAATATATTTTAAATGTCTTTACTATTTTTATTTAAATAAATAAATAAAACAAAAACTGGAAAATATATAATAAAAATATAAAACATATCTTGAATTAAATTTAAAAAAAAATAATAATAATAAAATTAAAAAAATAATAAACAAATAAATAAATTAATTAATTAAATTAAAATATCTTTACTATTTTGTAAATTATAATATTAATTGATATATTATTATATAACAAGTAAGAAAGCTCTAGTCCAGACTGCTCGACTAGGAGATCCCTGAACCCTCTAAGCTGATATTCTACTTATTCTGCACAGTAAATCTGAAGTCTCTAGGTCGAAAAGTGTTGAAATTAGGCTCAAAAAACAATAACCATTTTTCGATTATTCTCGATAAAAAAAAGTTATCGAGTGAGTTATAGAAAAAATATGATAAACTTGTACTGTTTTTTGATTTTACTACAGGGTATCTTAAATCATGCCTGTTAAATGCTTGTTTGGCAGCCGGTTGCTTGACTGCTCTGCCTGGCCGTACTTAGGAAGGGTTTTTGAGGTATTGGGATTTTGCCAATTAAGCTGACGATTTTATAACTCCCTTTTTTATGACCAAAGTTTTATTTATAGCCTAAAGGCAAGGCGATGCCAATTGCCTGTGATACGTCTACAGATACAATGCAATCAATTCAAATCGAGAGAAATTCAAGCTAAAATAAATTGAGAGAAACCAAAAGTGGATAACGAACCTGAAGAAAAGCCTCATGTGGCTTTATATTATGCATTAAGAAAATTTAAGAAAGCATTGGAAAATGTATGAAAACATCTCAACAGCCGCTGAAGCCTCCTCGAACGGAAGTCGAGGAGGATGAGTTGACGCCAGCTTGCAGCCAAACGTGAAGTATGCGGGGCTGTGCTTAGGGGAAATTGCCAAAAGTCATTAAATTGCTGAGCAACGAGGCTGGAGCAATAAGCTGTTGCTCTCGACTGCTAACCAGGATGGATGGATCACTGGAATGGAATGCAGCTGCAATGGCTCATTTTTATGCAATCCCATCATCATACAGCCTGGAGACTCAGAGACAGAGAGAGAGAGAGAGAGAGAGAGAGATAGAGAGAGAGGGGGAGACAGGGAGAGCACATGGAGAGACAAGCAGAGAGTCAGATACCTCAAGCAGTGTCTGCCATCTGCTACTGACGTTTACCATAAATATAATTAAAGTTTCATTTCCGTGTTAGAGCTGCGAATGACAAGCGCTGCGGGCACGTGGCGTATGAGTGATGCCAGCGCAGCCAACTCAAATGCCATTCAAACTGCGAACAAACATTTCAAATTTCATATGAAAAGTGCATTTCCAACTTCGTTATGTCACACATTCACTTTTTACAAAATGCATATTTATGACGTTAGTGTAATTAATTAATTAATTGACAATGATTTCATAGGGTCTTGATTTCATAGGGTCTACATTTGTTAAGGCGATGCACCCATCGGAAATGGGAAATCTGGAAAGCTATATGTTTCAAGCAGAAGAAGGTGTGGCATAAAGTATATACATTTTTGATCACTGCTCTCTGTCTATCCGTTGAATTTTTGTATGTGTGCAAAAAAAAAAACCCTGGTTCGGGGTATGGCCTAGTTGGGCTATCTCAGCTAATAGACGGTGTGGTAGACCCTAATAGAGCATATACATATATATTTTGGATTATGGCAACAAGCAGTATCGATATAGCAATGCCCGTCTGTCTGTTCCTTTAAATCTTTGTATGTATAAAATAAGCGGGTTCAGAGTATCTCCTAGTCGAGAAATCTCGCCTAGGCAACTCTTCCTTGTTTTGCATCAAACTTAAGCAGGGTACAATTTATATGAATTTTTGTTTCTTACTTACCTCTTAATTTGTTTGACTTTTTATATATATTTTATTAATGATAATATATTTATAAATGTATTTTATATATTTTACGTGTTTATATAATATATATATATATTTTTTTCTTTGTATGTATATATAAGTATATATACAAGTTTTTCTCGCACCTATCGTGTTTAGCTCTCGCCCGCAAAGTCAAATCCCTCACAAATGTTCCTAACTTGTGATTTTACTTCGTAATACTCAGTTGCCTTCTTATTCGTATCGTAGTAGTCATAGAGGACGATCGGGACGGGCTTCAAATATGCCACATGATGCCTCATAACCGCCTCGATGAGAAGGCACTTGATATCTCCCTTGTGCAGGCTCTCAAAGTAGATGACCAGCACAGAGTCGTCATTTTTGGTCTCCACCAGCTGCGTAAAGTAATTAGAATTGATATTCAAATAGAGATAGGTGATGAATTGATACCCACCCTGACGCGATCGATTTTCTGTATGTCCTTGAAGCTGTCCTCATCCACCTTATAGCCGGAAGGTAGTGAGACTTCCAGTATGGCCATATTGGATGCCTCAGCCTTGCCCTCCTCTACATACTCAACGCTTACGCTGAGCTCCAGCTTGGCTGGCGGCGATCCTGGTTGAACAATAGCCTGAATCTTAAAGCTGGGCTTGGGCTCCCTTGCGACAACATTGTACTGATAGCTGACTTGTAGCAGAGCAGCGCCAGCTCCCTTGACCATGTACGACAGCGACTTTGTGCCTTGCGGGAACTCCACAGTTTGTAGTAGCAAAGCGTTATCTTCCGTCAGGCTGAGCTGCTCCGTCTTTTCTCGCTGGCCATGATTGGAGACGGATACGTGCCACCTGGCTGGCTCGTCGCCGAACTTCTTGGCGAACTGAATGAGTGCCTGCAGGCCAGCCACCGTATCCTGCGAGGAAGCAAAGCCACCAAAGCAGTTCCGCTGTGCCACCAGCCAGCGAATCGAATACAACAGTGAAACGGGAGTCTCCTGGCCCGATTCCAACAGCGAAAGCACAGCATACGAAGTGATCTCAATGTTCTGACTGGCACAAAACTTTAGTTTATCTTCCGTCCACCAGGTGTAATCCGCCTCGTGCTTGGCCAGTGCTTGCAGTGCTGCCACATGCTGGGCGGCATCTGGAGACTTTGCCCTCTGCAGAGCGTAGGTGGCAATGGCCCTGGGCAACAGGCCTTCCGCATTCTTCTCAGTTGTGTGGGCACTCAGATAGGCCACTGCCCGATCGATGGCCGATTGGTTGGGCTTTTGGTGCTCAAGTAGGGCCAGCAGTACGTTGGCAGTGATCGTGAGGGCCGAACACTGTGCGGCATAGAAATGGTCGCCATTCTCCGTGAAGCTCCCGTTCTCAGCCTGGCGGCTGAGCAGAACCTCATATCCGCTCTCCAGTAGTTGCTCGTCCACTTTTATCAAATCCCTTATCTGACCGAAGGAGCGCAGCACATAGGCTGTCAGCCAGGTGGATCCCTTTCGTTCGGGATCCTCCTTATGCCACCTGCTGGGTCCAAACGAGCTGTAGCTGCCATCGTCGAGACGGTAGTGGAGCATATGCTGGTAGCCCTGCTCCAGATTGCGCTTTATGCGATGCTCCAATTCTGGAGTTAGTTTCTTCATGTGCTTCAGATAATCATACACCAAATAGTTGGGCACAAGTTTGGACATGGTCTGCTCGCCGCAGCCGCTGGGCAAGCGCAGCAACCGCTCCAAGTTCTTAATGGCCGGGCCAAGCAGATTTCCACCAAAACCGACTTCAATGTGCTGCGAGTCTGGCACAAGGTCCTCCGGTAGATCCAGTTCGAAGCTGCCCTTGAGCTCGTGCACGTCCGTCAAATTCAGGAAAAAAGCCCGGTTCCTATATTGCGTCACACCTTCGGGCACCACCTTAAGGGTCTTGAGCACCGCATCTCCGGCAAGAGGCGAAACGGCCGTAAATTTCAGCAGAATGCTGCCAACGATTCTGGGACGCAAAAGGAAGGAAGCGCCTGCTGTGGCATTTGCGCCCACTTTCAGTGTCTTCGTGCACTTCTGGAAGTCGCCAGGAGCTGCGCTGGACGGATCCACAAAATCGTACTCGTTATCCTCATTGCTCAGAGTAACCTCCACGTTCAGTTGATGGGGCAGGTAGTTGAAGACCAGAGCGGGCACATTGATCACCTCGCCCCGCCTCACCGAGTAGGGCAGACGCACGGACACAAAGAACGGCTGATAGGTCTTCATTTGCAGCTGGTCATTGATCACGCCCAAGCCCCTCTCGGGATGCAGTGAAAACGCCGACAGCACCCAGCTTGTAATTGTATCAGGAATTTTGCGGACCCACTTAAATGTCTCCGTTTCCGTCCATTCAATGTCCTCGAATAGCCACGTTTCGGCAAAGTTGCTCCGCACCTTCGGTAGAGGCCGATCAAGTGCAGCTGGTGCTGCTTCGGGTATCATCAGGGTCGACGAGCTACTATCAGAGCTTTCTGTAAATTGCACATAAAGGAAAATTCATTTTCAACTGGGAAAGCTCAAGTGCAATGAGAGTGAAACATCTCTCAATCATTATTGAATTACCTCTTAGACAGTAAATGGGCATGCGATCATAGAAGAATTCGGCATTTGTCATAGTCACAAGTCTTATTAGCCGTTGCCAGGTTGGGTATATATTATAACGTTCAAGGCAAGAGAACGGGTCATTCTTGATATCGTTGTTGGCACCAAGGCAAGCGCTTTGATCAACGGCCATAAGACCAACGAATGATCCTGGCGCCGTCTTAATCTCTAGCTCAACATCTGCGCCTGGCCTAACCTCAGCTGGAGCACTAATTTGAATCGGGTTCGGTAGCTGGACTTCTACATCAAATTCAGTCTTGGCATGGCGGAATGCCCCAGAGTCGTCCACGTAGTAGGCATAAATGCGACCGTTAGGTAACATTTGGAATGTGGGTGTCAGAGTGATGCTATGGACCTCCTGTGGCTCACTCAGCACGACTCGTTCCGTCTGCAGGACATTTCCACGTCCAATGATGTTGTACACGAAATTCTTCAGGGGGCGTCTGGACTCCAAAGTTACTTGATATACCTCACCGATGCGGAGCCTGCTATAGGGTGGACAGTTAAGTGTTTGCCGAATAGAATGATTTACAGTACCTCGCATTCTTCGTAGGGTTTTGCACAATGAGCCTGAACAACTCTTTACTCCTCTCTTCACTCCACAATTCACGCATTATTTCATCATGCCCACACTTGATCGGCTCTTCGAAAGAATTTATGTCTAGGGTTTGCTCTTCTCCATCAAACTGAAGCACCGCGATGTGGTGAGGCGAATAGTATCCAGGCTTCGGTAAATCTGATGGCGCCAACTTAAAAACAGCAAAACTTGACTCATTGAGTTGGGTCACGAATTCCGAGTAACTGTTCTCTTCTATTTCCTGTATCCCCTGTCCAGAATTATACATGCCCGGGAAGAGCCTAAGCTACAGTTTTGGGTTATAAGTTACCGTTAGTTATTAAATAATTTTTCAAATGACCTACCTTGACAGGGTTCTTGTTGTCCTTTAGCAACGTACCATCGACATAAATGATCTGAAACACTAACTCATGTCTCGTTTCCGAATATATATTGAACATTTTATAGCGATTGGCATGTAGTTGAAAGCTGCCGGTTTCACTGAATTTAACGCCCGTAAAGTCTTCCTCAATAGTGGCTAAAATCTTGTAGTGCAACGAGCAGAAATTATCTTGCGAAAAATTGTCCAGTTCCTTAACATCTATATCAAATTTCGCAATGCCGTTGACCAGGTTAGTATTCCTTATTAGAGTGTGGCTCCACCAAGTTGAGTTTTCCCTATGCACTTTGAGCAATACTTTGCCATTTACTGGTTTGCCATAGGCGTATCTGGTAATAAAGCAATGAGAATTTGATGGGTTTCCCTAGGGAAAAAAGTAAAACCAACTTACTTGGCTCTTACCGCAACGTACAAGTTGCCATCCTTGACTGAGACATGTTGATTCGCATCCATTTTCACGATATATCTGGGAAGAACATACTTCTCGACCTCGAATTCGACACGCTCATCCGTGCGACAATTCTGAACGGAAAGGGTCCATAGGCCCAACGCAGCAAGCTCGGACAGTTGAAGCTTTCCAGTATAGACTCCACAACGGGTCTTTATGTCCTTTACCATCGCGATGAGTCTGCTTTTGGAGTCGTCGAACCGTACAACTAAATCATCCGGTGCCACGCTAGGCATTTGGTTTTCATCCAAGAAAACGATCCGGTAATTAACTGTGTCTCCCGGCTTGTACTTACTCCTGTCCGTTTGCAACTTTACTCTAGGCTCAAACTCTTCGAAGAAAAGCATCTTGGAGTTCTTGAACTCCATTCCAGCGACACCCTCTGCGGTTAACAAATAGTCACCCGAAGATAGAGCAGGCACCTTGAAGGTAATCTGCTGGAACCCATCCGAATTTAACAGCTCAACTGTTTGAGCTTCGTTGTACGAAGGTCCCGTAATACCAATCTTCAAGGTAACTGGCTCCTTGGTGTGGTGCACGGCGACAGCCACATTGTAATCTCGATTAGCGCATAAGGCTCCCGAGGCGACGATGGTGTATTGCCTGCGTGAAAAAGATTATGTAGCTAATTAAATAAAATGCATGAGTCAAGAACATATGAATGAATGAGGTTCATCAGACAAGTCAATTTAGGCCTGTCAATCCGGTATTCCACACAAGACTTTGACTTACCCTTCACATGTCTTCGAGTCTTTGGTAGAGCTTGCGGGATCCACAGAAGCCATTGCTGATAGTTCTGAAAGAGCTTGCATTTATTTTATTGCAAAAGGATTTTCGATTTTCAATGGATTCAGGGAAATTATTTAATTTAAAGGAGTTTTTTTCTATGTATAATCCGGACTCACGTTGTTATCTAGTTCTCAAGTTGAAAATCACATGATTTACCGAAATGCATATATTCGCTTATCTACAGAATGCGCTTGTATCAGTTATCTACAAGGGCTTAGTTATCAAAGAACACATACATACATATATGTATGTACATATGTCTGTATATGTAACCTATATACATAACATTTTTATCAGCTATTAGTTTTTATGAATGGCATGAGTGTATGCAAACCAGTGATGTCAATTTTTTTTATATTTTTTTTTTTTTTTTTTTTAAAAAAGGCAAAAATGTCCCGAAAATACGGAAAAAAGGCTGAAAAGAGGGCAAACAATTTTCTTATAAATTTGCAATTTATACCACATTTGCAGATTCTGCAGTACGCCTTATTGTTGTCGTTTTCATCTCGAGCTATCCGCGACTTGAAATCTGGCTGCTCTAGCCAGTAATTCCGAAATTTTTGCACTGTGCTTAACCAAATGTGGGTACACTATTTAGCATATTAAATGCTAAAGTTCTGTTCAAGTTCTCTTCAATGTTAATAGGATTCTGTTGCATCCACAACCGATCAACTGGAAAAACGGCCAACCAACTGGAAGGATATGACCTCGATCCAGAAAAAGGACAAATTGTCATCACTGATGCAAGTACATGCATATATTTATATATGTACAAGCATATCATATTTTGGAATCGATTAATCGCAATTTAAAAGATTAGATTTACTATTTACATGGATTTTTTTTTTTTTTTTTTTTTTGCCTGCAAATTTGTTATTTGTTATATATGTATATTGCATCGAATTTAGTTAATAATTAATTTAATATTTTTTTTAATTAATATTTATTTAAAACTGATATATACTTCAATATTTTGTTGTAAGCACAATTTAACTAAATCATATATTTGAATTACCTTTAAACTTGTAGAAAGATATTGTTTGTAATATTCTATTTTACTAGCTGATCAATGAAGCCTTTTATTAAATTATGAAACTGCTGTTTAAAAATGCAATCGCTGCGTTTTACTGCTTAGACGCCTCGATGGAGAGTGCTCATGGAACAGGCGTACAATGCCAATATCAAATATCTGACCAATGCTTTCTCTCTCTCTCTCTCCCTCTCTCTCTCTCTCTCCCTCTCTCTCTCCCTCTCTCTCTCTCTCTCTCTCTCTCTCTTTCTCTATCTGAGTTGCTGTTGCTTGCAAGCGTGGGGAATTCCCTCTCAAATAACGTCATTGATTCTTTCATTTCGTATTGCCCTGAATAACTACATATGTACATATGTAGTTTGCGTTGTCTATGTGAGAAGTGTAAGTCCCCCAGTGCGATAAAAAGCTGAATGCGCTTGCTAAACATGATATGTATCTAATTTTAATAGCTATCCAAAATTAATGAAACTCATTTCAACTGTATTTTTCTCTATCATTACAATTATAAAAGTTGCTTTCAGCTTGCATATCATAACCCAAACACTCGTATGAATCATAGAAACAGTTTTAGAGTGGACCAAAATACCACTGTAAATACTGTGACTCTGACTGTCAGCTGTTGTCAATGACGTAGAGAGCGCAGTCCGTTGGCGAATTGGACGGATAATTATACAAACCGGTTTAGAATGTGCCGAAAATAACATTATAATACATATATACATAAATATGGAAGTAGAATGCGAGCGATGCCAATCCGACAAGCGGCACCTGGCTGGTGTCCAAGGTGAAGCACGTGCAAGAGCGCTGAGTCACGCTCCATTTGCTTTGAAAGTTTATTTTACATTATTATTATTATCATTATTTTTTTTTTTTTTTTTGCACACAAACTTCTCTCCGAGATGTGATCCACACAGCTGTTCTGCGTTCTCTGCTCTGCCAGCGTTCTTTCAAACGTTATTCGACAGTCGAAGCGCGCGGTCAGCGAATTTCTTATCGGCCGAGCGCGCGTCTCGCACGTAATAGATAAAACTTGTTAAAGTCGGAAAAACACAGAAATTATGGCAACCGGAGTTATGTCAGGCTGCAGTGCGACGGGACTGCGCGATGTTTGCGAGAATCCAGATCTGTGGGCCTATGTCAGGACTTTGAAGGAACATGCCGATGGCAATGTAACGAATGGACGGTTTCTGGAGGGCACACAATCCCAATCCTTCAGCTTCGATATATCCTCGGCCGTGTTTTACTTTGGTTTCTGTGCCTTGATCTCGCACCTATTGCTGGCGGGCGTCACAGCTGTCATAGTACACAAATGCGTCTCCCTCAAGATGGTGCACACAGCGGGGCATGCCTTCTACTGTACAGTGGGTGTAAGTATATACAATGTATATGTATGTCTGTACATACGTACATATGTATGCATCTATATATTTACATATTGTAGCTCTCGAATATTTACATTTTGTTTGCTCCGTCAGTTTGTTTTCTTTCTGGGCGAAGCTCTGCTTGTGCGTCACAGTGGAATTTTGGTGCTCTGGCTGGGCATATCTAATGTGGATCTATTGCACAGTGCTCTTGGCCTACTCGCCTTTGGCATCGGCGTTGGCGGCGTGGGCATCAAAACTTTGCAGAAGCGAGAGCGCAAGCGCGAAGATCCAAATGCTACGGTTAGGCACTTCCGCAGTAATCACGGATTCTCTGGTAAGTGCAAAGGCACTCGCTTAAAATGCAAGCAGGCTATTTACATATTCCCTCTCTCTCGTTCTATTTCGCTCACTCTCCATAGGCATTGTCGGGTGCGCTCTGCTGCTGTGCTGCGTTCTCAGCGGCCTGCCGTTATATTTCTACACAAACAAATCTCTACAGCTCGTTCATCGCTTTTGCTCTCTCGCCAGTTTTGCAACACTGATGACTTCACAGATGTTCAGCTACAACACTGGCTTCGCTCGGCGCCAATGGAAAGCTCATCATGTCCGGCTGTTCAAGCTGTTTACATTTATTGCACTGATCACAACAATGAACTATGAATTTCGGAGATTTGCGCGAGAAATTGTTAGCTTAATAATGAGACAAGTCTGGCATTAGCTTAACGGGAAGTTAAATTTTGTTCATTTCCATTATTTTAATTTGATTAAATACTTTTTCAGTATATGCATATATTTATATAGCTTTTATTTGTTATTTTGATACACGATACCATAGGGATAACAATATTTTGATTATTTGCGACATATAGATTTACACATAGATTATATACTTGATTATCATTTGTTTCGTAAAACGAATGAAAACACTTCACCGAAGATAAACATAAATTGACATAATATGCCTGAAGCTAATATTAATTGTCGAACATAAAATGAATGAACTTATAAATATGCGACAAAATTACTCAATTGCGGCCACTTTGCGATGTATTCATAATGTCCAATGCAGCCGGTATGTTGCCCTCCACTGAGTCCAACAGCTGCGTCAACCAGGCTCCCTCATTGCTGAAGCCCATGGCCATCATCGCGTGCACTGCGGCATTGATGCGTTCATCTGTGAAATGGATGACAATTTTGAATGAAATTGAAGCACATCGAGGATAAATTTCTACTAACCAGTATGATAGATGGGCACATGGCGCTTCTCCTCAGGGGCCGGGGGATTGCCCGCTGTCGATGTCGATGTCGAGGTGCTGTTGGTGGCCACAGCTGTGGTTGAAGTCGATGTGCTGACCGTGTTCACCTGGGAGGTTTGGGTGTGAGCTGTTGCCAGTTCCCGCTGCTGTTCCTCGTTCACGTGCTGACGCAACATCTCGCCCAATTGCGCGAAATCACGGGCTGGGGTCACCGGTGAATCAGTTGTGGTCGCGTTTGGGGTGCTCAAATTAATCAATGCATCCGAGCTAGAGACATTGGCCATGGGCGAGGTCGTGTTATCAATCATTTGCCAATCCTGATCCAAGCTCTCCGAACGGCGTCGTTCCTCTACCAGGGTATTAGTCGTCTGTGCCACTGGCTCGCCAACAGTTTCAGTTTCAGTGGCAGTTGTAGTTGTAGTTGTAGTTGTAGTTGCAGTTGTAGCTGTAGCTGCATCAGCAGTTGGAGCAGACGCCTGTACTCCATTGCTAGCCTCAGATTTCTCAGAGGCCGTTGAGCCATTTGAAGCCATGGAGGTCTCGGCACAGCCAAAATCGGCTGCTGCACTGGGATCAATCATTTTAGCAAACATTTCGCTAAAGTTGTTCAAGATTTCAATACCGGCACGCATATACTCGGGATTGACAACCTGTGCTAAATTCTCCAGACTGATTACTGGGGTTGTTGGTGTGCTGTTCGGAGTAGGCGTGGCAGTTGCCTGTGTCTGGGCTTGCTCCTTGGGGCTGCGAGGAGCAGCCACCGGCTCTTGTGCATTTGCTTCAGCACTTGCTTCAGTTGAAGCTGCTTGCTTTTGCTTTATTGGGACGTCAGTCGACTCTCCTACTTTCTCGGTTTTCTGGGTTTCTTCAGATTTGTCATTATTCACTACAGTTGGCTTCTCTTTTGGCTCCGGCCCTTGTGCCTCCTGAGTTGCGGCAGCCGCAGTGGGCGTTGCATTGCTCTCCGGCAAATGCATCATCATGTCTACGAATTGAGAGAATACGTTGCCATTCCGGCGACCATGGCGTCTTTCGCGACGAGTCCAGCACGGAGCTGCACCACCTGGCGTAGCCTGTGCTGAAGTAGCAGTTGTAGTAGCAGTTGCAGTTGCCCCTGGGAATGGGCACTGATCGCGAGAGCGACGGCTCGAACGACGATGATGATGCGAGGTGGCACTCGGGCCACTTAGCCAGGCCTCAACCACACTCGGTCCACTGTTGGTGGGCATGCGGACCATCAAGTGATCGGCATGCTTGTGAGCCGACTCGCAGGCCTGGCACAGATCAAAGTTGGGGCACTGTATGCACTTGTACCGAAAGCCGACCAATGGTAGAGCGCCGCATGCATCACACTCGACTCCATCATGGATGACGAAATTGCTGGGATCGTCCTCAGCTTGCTTAGCAGCTGATGCCTGCTTGGCGTCAGTCTTACCATCGGCAACAGCTGCAATTTGCAAATGCATATTCTCCTTGCATTTGGCCAAGAATATTTCATAATCATTCTGATTGAAGACTTCTATTTCATCACCATCGGAATCTACAAGAAATATAAATAAACTTTAGTTTACCTAAGATTGCGTAATATAAAAACTTGGAGAATTGCGTGTTCAAATTAAAATAGTGTCTGTATAATAAGTCGATGATTAAGCGAATGTGCTAATTTCATGGCAGACTCAACTATTTCGTGATATCAAGAATGTATGTATTTAATTTAAAATATATGTACCTTGGAATAAACTCCATTTTTCCCTATATACATGCACTTGTACTTGTACCCCAACTCTACATTTCTCCCTTGTGAGAAGAAGTATTTGCAAAACAAATCGGCCAGTCAGAAATACTTAGATCAAATATCGCTGTTTACTTTGTAATTTGTAAACAAAATTCAAGTATTATACAGTCTATAATCTTTTGATTAAACCAAAAAAATGTTTGTATATATACATATCGTGAATCATTCGATTTGACTGGATTAAGTTCTGTCATTTTGTTTTGCTATCAATTCTATTGATAATGATATACATTGCTTAGTGAATCACACATAGGGCTGACAGGGTTGTCTATATACGCATACTTGTATATATGCAGATACATATATGTATGTACTCGTATACTTCGTATATTTAGTGAATACCTATGAAATTTGCCGAGGAGTTGGCAAATGCACTTTAGCCTTTTTCCATTTATCGAACAAATGCTTGCGAAACTGTTTACATACATACGTACATAAATACACATATACATCTCTTGACACAGATGCGCACGCACACAAGCTTGCAAGCATCCGATTACATAGCACACACGCACACACACACACACACACACACACACATTGACACATTTAAGTGCATACAATTGATATCGCATGTTGATTCGTCTATTATATCATATCTACGTATATGTATGTGTATATTTACCAATCCAATATGTCCTTATCTCGCATTTGACCAGCTGTCGCTCCTGGAACAGGTACATGTCGATTTCGCGACGTAGAATGCTAAAATTGTTTGATGGCATTCGCAGATATGCATTCAGCTTCTTGCCAGTGCCAGCTGGTGCATTATGGTAAGTGATTTTCAGCAATTTCTCCGACATATTCAAGTAGTTTTACTTTTTTCTTTCTTGTTGTATTTTTATTTTAATTTTATTAATTCGACAAAGTAGACAGCAAAAGAATGTATTTGCTGATTATTTGTTTCACAATTTGCTTCGAAGTCGTCTATTGCGTCGCAGTTGTTCTCTATGTATACAGCCGCAATGGCTGCACTTCGGCTTTTATACTGGGTCTTGTTCGTCGTGCAGTTAGACACGACGGTTCTTGAATATTCGATGTAGAACGAGCGAAAATACTGCAAATCACTCCACGGACACCTATTTGTTTATGAAATGATTCGCCAAAACGAAGAGTAGTGCCAAGCTGGTCTTAAGTTGACCGACTATCAATCGAAATTCCTGATTTTTTATCGACTAACAGTGTTGGTTAATTTATTGAATTTTTAAAAGATAAATTTATCGTATCAGCCCTGATATTCATATGATGTGATTAAGTGGCGCAATTTTCAAATTTCGTTTACATTATGTTGAAACAGAGAGTATGTTTCTGTAAAATCAATTTTCATATCATATGTGATATTTAACTGAGAGGTGCATTTTGTTTCAATTCGCATATCCGAATTCATTTTTAAAATTTTCAATAATTTTTGTTTCACATATTTCTTTGTTTGTTTGTCGATGTTGTCTAACAACTTTGATGACTATATCAAGCAGTATTACAGGCGATTTTATACTGTTCTTGCTTCTTGTTAGTCGTATAAAACTTTTCTGTAATACTCGCTAAAACAAGGAATAGATTTTTAGATTTATATAACCATATAACGGATATTATTCAACATTCAATTTAAATTCACATTTGTTCGTTTTCAAAGATATTATTTATTTGCCATAGCTTAAAAATTCGATTTTATGTATTATATTAAAGCGCTCTAAGCTTGAGGACGTCGAAACAATTTTAGAAGCTGCACCATTTCCGATTTTGTGCTGTATAAAAATAAAAAATAAATAAAAAAATAAATGATCTAGTTGGCTTTCCATAAGAGTTACAAACCGAGGTGCACTAGACAGTTTAGAATTGGGGCTGTGTCGGCTTTCGATTTCCTTCTTCGGCGTTGATATATTTACCACTTGAGTTGTTGTCTGATCTGTTTTATTACTTATAGACTCTGTTGGATATATATCGACTGGCTCCCGTATGGCTGCCAGTGGACTGTCTAAAATATAAATTTTTGTATATTGTATATTTGTTTTTGTTGGCGATCAGCGTTGCTCACTTGAATATGTCTCAAAGAGCTGTTCCATCCAGGAGTAGTCCTCGCGACCTGGTAAGCCGAAAACAAACCCATCTAGATGCCATCTCAAGTTCTCAGTACCCTTCTGCCTCTGATCGTAGTGAACCTCCTCCACCTGGTAGCCATAGTCACCATAATCATTGTACAATAGATCAATTAAATCGCTGGCACTACTGCGACTCTTCAGTGGCTTCGGCAGGGCCAAGGCAACGCATTGCAGCAAGGCCAGGACAAATAAACGATTGGTAAACTTGCACATTTTAGTTGAGCGTCTCCTTCGCGTAAACAGGACCGTTGCTCTCCGACTGCGGGCGATGAATGAGCCACAGCTGCAATCAGGCAAACAAGATGAGCCTTAGCCCGTCGCCAGTTGCCAGTTGCCAGTTGCCCAGTTGCATATGGGTAACGAAAAACCCGCTTGGGTGCTAGACAGATGCTCAGTTCAATGGCCAAAAGACTTCCGCATTGTAATGGCAATGTGAGAACCTTGATTAGATGCTGCCATTGACCGCAGCTCGATGCGTCTAAGCCCGCAGCTAAGGGTGTGGGAGAGGGGTGCTCGACTTGAGGGGTGTGACACCTCTATCCCCAGTTCTCGGAGTCGACAGTCTGCTTGAAATGAATCGGCTAATCAACTTCATCTATAAATGTGAAATCGTATTATTGTAGACTTTTTTTGTTTTTCTTTTATTTTTATTTTAGTTCAATAATGTATGATAATTGTATATTTAAGTTTGCAATTCCCACAATCGGCTTTTTCATAATGTGTATCAGCCCCCTCCAAACATTATCTACTACCACACTACGCCACTGGCCAGAGCGACATATGTATCATTATGTGGGTAGTATTAATTAATATTTAATATATGTATATATAATATATATAGAAGGTATATACATCTATAGCAATATATATATATACATATATATATTTATTTAGCACATCCAGCTAGCTTAGCATTATAACCTACATATAGCTGTTTGAGGAAAATAACGCGAGTCATTGTAAAACGTTCTAATTACTTTGACTACTGCTGTGGTTAGTTGTTTATTGTAAGTAACGGCATCTTGTTTGAGCTGCTTGGAGTAGAGTGTGTGAGTTCGTTGACCCATTGAGTAAGCCAGTAAGCAGCAGGCAGGAGGCAGCGGAGAATGCACCCAACTCTTTTGCCAATTTATACAGGAAGGTGCTGCTATCAGAAACTAGAAGCTGCACTTTCTATCTTCTAGTTTCAGGTGTGTGCGTGTGTGTGTGTCTAAAACTGGTTTTCAATTGAAAATTGCAACGTTGCAAAATGATGGCTCTGGCCTTAGTTAATGCATCGCTATTAATTTTGTTTGTTTTTTTTTTTTTTTTTTTTTTTCTTTCCGTTTTTGCTAGCCCCTTGATGACAGCTGAACTTCACATTCAACTGGACTTATCCTTGATCGCATCATTACCGTTACATTCATTTTTCACGTCTTCCGGTTTCAATACACCAATGAAAGTTTAACGTTGGCAATTAAGAATACCGTTAAGCATAGAACATAATTCAATTTGGTTTGTCCTCCCGTTTGATTTACATTTTATGCTCTCCCACACTGACTCGATGCGCCTTTGCCCTTAAATAAATGTTAAGCTTAACATTGACCTTTAACATAATCGCTGGGCGCTTAATTTGAAATGTAATCTTGTTGTAAGTTTATTTAAATAAATAAATTGGTATTTATTTTTTGTTTTTTTTTTTTTAATTATTATTAAATTTTTGTTTACTTGAAACTCTTTTTGTTTGATTATTATTATTTTCTCTTCAATTGGAAATACAATTTTTGTCGATTAAAATAAATCGTTAAAATATAACAAAATATTTTTCAATTTGAAATGTAATTTCTGTAAGTTTAAATTATTATTAAAATGTATTTAATGATTATTTTATATAAAATGCAATTTTTGTAAGTTTTTTTTTTTTTTTTTTAATTTAAGCTCATTTATTTTTGTTTTATGTGTGTGTGTAAAGTGTGAATCTTAAGTCGAATGCCTAATCATTTATTGCGATGCTTAGCCTAATACATATGTATGTGCGCTTTCGTTGAGCAGTCTGGAAAGTGTTTCAGTCTCAGTATCCCTCGACCTGGCGGCAGGCACCATAGCTGTCGCGTCGCTGACCCGGTGAACAGCGTGCCAGGCCGTCGCGCAATAGGGCCTTGGAGTCAGCCAGGGCATCGCCCAGTAGCTCGAAGCTGAGCAGAGGCTCGCCATCGATCAGATGCTTGGGCTGTATCGGTGTGGGCTCATCGCTCAGTTGCCAATTACGCGGCTGTGCCTCGTTAATTATGTAGGCGGGCACATCGATGGGCGGATACAGGACGTTCGCAGTGCCCGGCTGGGTTTGGCTGCGGGCGACATCGGTGCGGTACAGGGGCACGCTAATGGCGCGTGCATTGGAGTCGCCAGCCAGGCGATTGGTCTCCAGGAAGCTTGGGCCGCGCAGCGAGCGGGAATTGCGATAATACTGGGAGTTCGCCTGGTTAAAGCCTTCGAGTAGATTGTTGCTGCTGCTGCTGGCTGGCACGGGTGGCAACGCCTGTATAAGCTCCGGCTCCGCTTCCAGGTGATATGGCTTGATCAGCTGTGGCATGGGAATCAGCTGAGGTGGCAACACATCCACCTGCTGGCGATGCAGACGCGGATGCTGCTGCTGTTGCTGCAGTAGCTCCTCATTGGTTGCAGAGATGTCCACATGGTACGGCGTGCGTCCCTCAATAAACTCGGGCAAACCACCTGGCAATCCCGACTGGGGCATCTGCTGCAGTATCTGCTGCTGTTGCTGCTGCTGCTGAAGCTGTTGTCGCTGGTAGAAGGATTTGAGTGCCGAGGCATGCTTACGCTTGCTGTTGCTCTTCGTACCGCCGCGCATGGCGGACTTGCTCAAGAGATCCAAGAGACTGAAACTGTCCTGGGTAGCGGATGGGATCACCAGTATCATGAAGTTTTCCAGATCGCCACGTATGTTATACTGGCCCTCCTGCCGCTGATCGTAGGTGACTACGCGACGACGCAGTCCCTCCTCAGCCTCCACAGTGGGCAACAGCGGTGGCTGCAGCAGACCTGTCTCCGCTTCAACCGCTGCCTGCGGCGGCGCGACAGCCGGAAAATGCTCCTCCGCTACAGTAGCTGGCGTCTGGCTTTGACTCTGACTCTGACTCTGGCCGGGACTCTGATTCTGACTCGGGCTCGGTCCTTGATTGCTAGTGGATGGCATTTCAGTTGTGCTGTCACGCAAATAGGACGACTTTGAAGCCAACGCTGATGCGCCGAGCTGCAGCAGCAGCAACAGCACCAGCAGCAGCGGCAGCTGCGTGAAAGTCTTCCAAAACATATCTCAGACAATCTCAGACAAGATTTAACAAGCGCTCAATAAATTCTACGTTCTTAGCTCGCGCGCTTCTGCTTCGCAACTGATTAAAAGACAGCAACAACAGCTATAACATCGACGTCGACGTCAACGACGGCGCTGACGTCCGCATCAGCTTCGGCGCCAGTGTAGGCACTTTAGCTTTTTGCTCATCAGAACTGGCTTTTTAAAAAGTCCAATTGGAGAATGAACTTGAAAACAACGGTATGCGCGAATTCTAGCTTTTTAAATATCTAGAAACGATTTTTCAGCTTTTTCTAGTCAGATCAGACTTTTTTGTAATTCGATTGCGATTAGAGTTTTGTAGCCTGGCAAAGGTTTTTTCTACATTTCAATTGTGTATGTTATAGACATTCAAAATTCTGCAATAATTCCTTAATATCACGATTCAGCTAAATCTTTTTCTCTTCCGTTCCAGCTAAGTCTAGCTTTTTGTGCTGCAGAAAAAATGGCAGCACTGTTTAGTATGAGCGTCGGCGCATGCGCAACTTTCATATTCTGCCACTGTCGACGTCGCTGCTTTCTTGCTTTCTTTTGCATCTCGTTCTCGTTCTGGTTTTCTGTTCACGTTGTTGTTGTTGCTGATGGTCATTGTTTATTTTTCTTATTCGTATGTAATCTTCATTTCTGTTGTTGTTGTTGCTGTTGTCGTGCCCATTTCGTGTGCGTGACTTGCGTACGTCGACGTCGCCGCCGCCGCCGCCGCCTCTGCCTCTCGCTGCCACCCGCGCTGCTACGTAATGTTTATTTGTTGCCCACTGGAAAAGGAGGAGTGGCAGGGTGGGGTTGGGGGTGCTATGGGTTCTCCAAGTGCGCACAGCGATCCGTGAATTAGATTTTCACACCAATTAGGCAATGAGGAAGCATTTCGATATCCAGCTAATCGCCCGAGCACGTACTCAAAACTGATCGATACATTGTTGACAGCTGGACAGCTGGGCAAACCTGCTGGCAGTCGTGGGGACTCTATTAGGTGCAGTTTCTACGCATCAATAAACCAATTAAATAGATTCAATTCAGTAGAATTAGATGAAGCAGAAGAAGTCGCGTTCCAGTTAAATTTATTTATCCATCAGATTAGCGATTCAAAGAATTGATTCTATTGTTGCCCCTCTAATACAATTATTATGCTCTGAACCCAGTGAAACTGTGAAATCGGACCATAATGTTTACATAGTTCCAATTTATGTAACACGCTGAAGTGGGCGTGGCAGACGCCTTAAAGTATATATATACATAATATTGATCAATATATGAATTAGCTCTGTCCGTCTCTCCGAGTGTTAAGAGGCAGCTGGAGTTTGTTTACAAAATCGATCACTTTTATCCTTTCAGTGTAATCGATTAAGCCCCTTATCGAAATGTAGTTTACAATTAGCTTGATAAGTTTTTATACAACATTGATTTTTATTAATTCTAGATTTTTTATTCGGCGGTGGTGGTAAAGGCATTGTAGGTTATTCAGTTATCTTATGTTCGAGCTAGACAGTGTTAGGGTTTCCTGTTTATTTATTTATTTTTTTTTTTTTTTTAACATGGAAATTGATTGTGAAAGTATGAGATCCAAAATTAGCATGTCTTTGTGCTACATCAGGTTATGGGATTGGACGGTATCTAGGGTATCTCCTAGTCGAGCACCCCAACTAGAGCTTTCATACTTGTTTTATCTCAGTTATTTTTCTTTGCGTATAAACTAATTTACTTTCGGATGCTGCTAAATATTTGTGTCCGATCTCTAATCGAGATTAGGAGCTCACTCACAGAACTCAGCTGAAACACTTAGCACTTCAATTGTAATATTCATTTTTTAAAATACGAATTTATTTTTTAAGTGGTTTTTGACTTTGTTGTTTGCTGTTCGCACAGTTTTCGAGGATAGGGAAGCGACATTTACAGTTAAATATATGCGTGTATAATATAATTAAGCATTCATAGTCTGAAGTTTACATATGCGTGTGTGTTGTTTTAAAATAATAATAACATAGTATGCATTTAAATAATTAGAGGTCTTTGCGGTTATATCTTAGCTAAGAATTGCATGAATTAAAATTTCAATTGGCCCTTTCGCACAATCTAAACAATTTGAGCTAAAACAATTTCAAAAATAATACAAAATAATTAATTAAGCACATGTAAGGTATGCCATTAGATCCACATATACATATACACATATACACCTATATAGATTGATGTAGACAATTTACGATTAAGAATATGAACAATTATTATATGATATAGGAAGCGAGCGTCGTTTCAGTAGTCTCGTGTTGTCCCCCAAAATGTCTGTGATGTAAAATAGGATTGAAAACTAAACCGCAGATGTGGATTACTGAATTGAATACTTGGCGAAGACTTGTCATTTAATTTGATATTTAACTTGCCAGAGATGAGATTTCTCTCACAAATAGATACTAGAAGGAATAATACAATCGAATTTAAGAATACTTCAGATAGTAATTGATAATTGAGTGCGACTCAAGCAAACTCTTCGTGTTTTCTGTTACCTGAGCATTTTTGTGTTGTTCAAGAAGCGCTAACTAGCACAAACCTATAAATACATACATCTGTATAATCTCCCGTGATTTGTCTTGAAAAAAAAGCCTCCAAGCTGATCGATGTACATCAGAAATATGCAACTCGATCACGTTAAACAGTTCACCAACATCCAGTTCAGCCTAATCCTGTTTCGCTGCTGTCCTCGGCTGCTCCTCAGGCTGCTCCTGCAGCGTCTTCTGCTGCTGCTGCTGTGTCACATCCAGATGCGTCACACGCTTATGCACTGTAAAGCAAACCCGATTGAAGTGCTCGCACATCTGATTGACGACGCTGGCGCCGTAGTGCCAGTGGGTCAATGTGGTCACGATCAGTAGGATGTAGAGCAACGGCCGTTCCAGGATCGGCAGCCACAGGCTCATCAGCAAGGACATCACGAACATGGGCGTCTGCCAGTGCCAGGCCTCGCACCGCGTCACCGACATCTGCGACACAATCAGGCGGCACTGCAAGGTACATCAAATGAAAAGCCATTGGCTATGAATTGTGGAGTCCATTGTAGCACTAAGATTTATTTTGGCTCAACAATGCGAGCCACATTGGAACAAATAATGTTAATTGTGGAATTAATCGAAAATTCAACTAAAATTGTTATTGGGAAGGGACCATCCCAACCATCCAGCAACAGCTCTCTGGCGCCCTTAGCGCGAATTCCTAAGCATCCTTATCATTGGATCCCCCTCGCGCGGAAATTCAAAGACGCCGCGATCCTTTATCAAGAAGTCGAAGGCCCGATGCTGATACCAGCCATATATTTGATTCTCCGTCATTGGCTGCGTTGAGACATGCCGCGGCACAGGCTGACTGGCTGACTGACTGGACGGCCTGGCCGCCACATGCACATTCCCATGCACGTTCGCATTCATTTCGGGCAGCAGCTTCCTATGGTATTTCTGGCGCATCTCCTCAAGCGTCTCATCGTCGCAGTGGTAATACGAGCAATCGTGTCGCGCATAGAACTTGGTGGTCAATGGACGCTCAGCATCCAATATCTGGGTCTTCAGTAACCCCCGGTCGATGTTGAAGTACAAGTCGCGGTTGCAGCGCCGACGACGATAACGATGTCTGGGCATCTTCCAGCACTTTGCCCACCTCTAAAAACCTATCAAAACCTTCAATCGAAGCGAATAATAAATGCAAAATTTGGAATCCAAAATTATGTGTGTAGTGTAGTGTATTTGTTGAAAGTAGTTCACTGACTGAGAACGGCATTAAATCGTATCGGACTACTATAACTCGGATGTCAAGGTTTGCATACCCATTGAAGTCGGCTGAAGAGGGTGTATTGGTTAGATCTAGGAGTTACAATTGAATTGTATTACAAATCAATTCCATTCTAATTATATAGACCTCTTTCTTATGTACAGCAGTTCTTGAATGATATACCAATACAATACAGTCCGCTTCTACGGATTAGACTGAAGAGTATATCGTCAAGTAATGTTACTTCTCTATTTAGTATTTATAAATAGTTGCAAAAATTGGGAAAATAAATGGAGTAAAATAAGCATTGACAGAAATATAAGGCTATCATTAGGAAAAAATCAACTACTTTCCTATATATACGCACTGCGGGCGTATCTGAAAAATTTTGAGACCAATTAGCATACAGGAACCCACGGTATATTTAAAGTCGGACGAACGGATGGACAACAAGATGAAAGTTGACAGAAATCGCGTATTTTTGTTCATTTATTTTTATCTGTCATAGTCCCATAATGAAAGTTCAATAACAACGAGATGTTCTTCAGTATGCTGTCCAGATAGACATGTCTATATGCATTATATTAGCCATAGGTATAATTTAATGCAGGTAATCATATCTACTCATGTCTGCGACTTTTGCTTAGCCATCAAATTGGTTTCCAGAATCAGCTTTATCAATGGATCAGCTTCGCGTGGAAATACGAAGACCCCGCGATCCTTGGCCTTGTACGGAAAGGCGCGATTGTGATACCAGCCGTATATTTGATTCTCTGTCACAGGTTGCGGTGTCGAGTGCTTCGGCTCATACTTCTTGAAATTGCCATCAGCGTCGGGTACATTTATCTCGGGACCCTTCTTGTCAAACTTTTCGCGCATGCGCTTAATCTCCTCATCGGTGCAGCGGTAATAGGGCCAATCATGGCGGGCATAGAACTTGAGGGTCAGCGGCTTCTCCGCCTCGGTCACTGTTATCGGCGACGCCTTCGCTTGCTGCTCCTCGGTGGCATCGTCTCCTTCAGCGTTCGTCTTCTCCAAGTCTTTGGCACAGCGCCGGCCGCCACAGCAAAATGGCGGCATGTCGATAAAGTTCTCTCTCGAATGTTTTTTTTTCTGAGTGTTATTATTGTTATGAAAGCTGAGAATTTTAGACTGCAGAAATTGACGTCTGAAGACTGCTTTGATTGTGTCGTAATTTTGAAGTCTTCTCAGTATCTATTGATAGGCATAGAGAGATCATTCTAAGATTGTAACACAAAAATATGTACAACCCTGTGCTCCTTTAGACTGTTGATATTCTGGAAACCCATAAGAGATTTCTAAAGAGTGTATTTCCCAATGAAATTTTATATTGAAAGAAGCTACGTAATCAACATAAGATTGAAGACTTTCGCTTGTATCAACGTAAGTGAATATTTTTTGAAAGAGGTGCATACTAAATGCCGTTTAGATTAGATTAAGAATATCTAATCATTTTTCTATAACTATAATCGATATTTTCAGAATGGAACATATAATCTATTTGGCTATATAACGAGGAACTCAGCCAGAACTCAGCTCTATTTCGAAAATTTTGTGTTCATTTCTCAGACTGGGAAAACTATTAGCTTCAAAACAAAACCGCTCAAAATGCAATAGAACCAGTTCCATATAAAAAGACTCGATCTACCAAGCTCCTAGTTGTGATGGATATATAAGTAAACCATTGGTCCTATTTCCGAGTAGACTAGTTCCAAGACTGTTACATGTTTAGTTTAACAACCGCATACATGAATTACTTAGATTATTTCCATTTTTCCTTAGTTGTATAACAGTTCCGATAAGTGTCTAGCCCAAACATTGATCAAAACTATCTGTGTTCGCTGTAGCTAGCCTACATTCTTATCAATCAATATAGAACTACTAATATGCAAGTTTATAGTCGTAAGACTAACAATTATTTATTATTATATTTATTATTATTATTAAGCACTCATTGTTCTGTTATCTTAGCTATCAGCGATATTGAGTTGTTTTTATTAGTTATTAGCCAAGAAACCCCTTAAAATGACGAATACAAAACCACGCCACTCCATATCTAAACTGAGTCACTTGCCCCGTTATTAGACGCTTGGTCAGAGGAGAGGGCTGGGCGGGCAGACAATTAGTTTGCTAATGACCCAACAAGTGTTCGAGGGCTCGAGCATGATAATAGCAATTTTTAACAACAAACAATAAAAACCAAAACTTAATAATTTGAAGCCTTCAGGCCAAATGTAAGTATGTAACGCTTTCTCATTAGTCTGCAGAGATAAGGGAAGATAAGGAACTTACGCTGACGTTGGAGAAGATTGTGCCACTTAGCATGAACATGGCGCGCGGATCCCTTTCCATAATATCATTGGGCGATAAAAATGGCCAGAGCAACAGCAGCACAAAGTAGGTCACGAATGGCCACATCGGACGCACTGCCTCCCACGCCGACAGCATCCGGCCGGTGCGCTTGACATATGAGCTGTAAGTGACAAAATTGAATGTTAATTGAAACGCTTGGCCAGTGATAGAGAAAGACCCTTACTTGTAGACATTGATAACTACTAGAGGTAGATTGGCCATGGCGCTGATATGCAGCACCGCTTCCATAACATTGCCCAAAGGCAGGCTGCCGAGCGGGCCCAATGACAGAGCGAATTTCCATCGCTCGAAGCCGGCCCACCACGTGAACAAATACATGGCCGTGCTGCCCCACATGCTGACATCGTAGCCCCACGGCAGATACAATACGCCCGTGTTGTATTTCTCCCAGTGCGACACGAAGAAATTGAAATAGACCGTTAGACAAACGTAATACATTCGCATCGGCCGCACTGAATAGACCCGACTGCGTCCAAAGATACTATACAGGCATGTGGGTATGATCATCGCCGTATACGAGTCCAGGCCATGATCAAACAGTTCGCCCAGCGGCCCGGACAGACCAATGCGACGCGCCTGCTTGCCATCAATGCCATCCAGCGTGTACGCCAGGAATATGTTGATTGCTGCGCTCAGCCACACCCACTTGGGTATCGGTGTGGTGCCCTCCTCGCCCGAACTGGCCTCGAAGTTCCAATCATAGTAGGAGAGCAGCACTAGATTCATCACGCTGAACAGGAAGCCCAGAAAGGTCATCAGATTGGGCGCAAACCAGCGCGGGAAGAACTGCATGAATAATGAACACGTAAATTATTCAAATTATTGATTTTTGTTTGTCATTTGTTGTTGTTGCTGCTGTTGTTATGAATATGCCGTCTGCACTTACCTTGACCAGCCAATTCCAAAATGGATGCATTACATATTGGCTGAGCGGCGACGTGTCTATGGCGCTATACTGCATATAAATAAAAATACATTAGATTTATGGACGGACTAGTGCGACGCCATCCCCCCTGCCCCATCATACCTTGTAATTGTCAAAGCCATTGATTTGCTCCCGTGTCAGGTACCGCCAATGCAACAATCGCCACAAGCGCTGCATCTTTGTGTATATGTATGTATATGTATATTCCAGGCGTAACACACGTGCTCCGTTGTCTATTTTAGTCGCGAGAGTCTCTCTCTTATAGATAAATATGGTTTACACGGCAGCAACGGCGCCACTGCTCTAATTGTTGTTGTGGCAATTGACTGAATGGCGGCAGTGGCTTTTACGTTAATTGTCAATGTTCAGCGCATCGTTAACTGGTTTGCGCGATAGAGTTACTTTTACTGGCCACAGCACATACAGAACGAAGCACGGCAACTGGTCAATTAATTTCACATGCAAAAACAAAAACCAATTTTGCCGGCTGTTTTTTCACGTTTCACACACACAAGCGCGCGCGCGCGTGCACTTACACACATGCATTTATATACACTAAATTACTGACACACACACACACTTACACTCTCAGCTGGTCAGGGGGTTGTTTTGCAGCACACACTTTGACCCATTCACCTTAGAGATGGTATATATATCTATATCCATTATTTATAATACATTTATATTAATCAAATACTTTTTACTTAAATCTAACACCATCGAACCATTCGCGAGTGTTAAGGGCCAATTAATTGCCTCATGAAAAAGTGGCACTTAATGCTGCAGCAACAGTGCTGCCAGCTCAATCAAGGACCGGGTCGATTGTCAGTGTTGTCTAGCACAGAACGTTCTCTAATTTATCGATTATTGGCGGAATTTCGAAATTCAAATTTAAATTTTCACCCAAATTGTTATAAGGAATCACATTCTTAAGCTCATTCTTAATGAATCACTAACTTATGCATATTGAAATTATGAATATTAAAAAAAGCTGCCCCTTTTCAGATACGTATTCATGGCTACAGCAAAAGTGCTGCCAACTCTAATAAAGATCTTACCAAAATACTTTCAGCATATCGATTTTAGCGGATTTCTTAAATAGGAACTCACATTCGAAACTTCAGTTGATTGGCTTTATTATTGTGGGACGTTTAGAAATTCGTGTTTATGTATAAGTTAACAAATCACATTGCGTAAAAAACATATATACTCGTATAAAGTTTAACAAAATGTATAAAGCATAAATAATGGTGAACTTAACACCAAGTCCTGTAACAAAATGTGCTAAATTGAATCTGTGTGTAACAAAAATTACTTTAAATTATGCTAATGGCCGTAATAGTTGGCTTGTCATAAATGATCTACTCTATAATAGACAGATAGTTCAGTTATTGATGACTTGTGTCGTCGCAAGGTATTGTTTAGTTTGATTTCTTTAAATTCCGTTTACGTATATTGCCTGGACAGCCGCCAGCGCTTAATAGATGTAATTTCCAGCCTCCGTCCAATGGCAGATGCACATCATCATGACAAAGTGGACAGCGAGCAGCGCCAGTTTTAAGCTCTGAAATAAAACAAGTGTATGTATATATATTAAGTGTGAGCAACAAGAGAAATGAAAATTGAAGAATACCCCGACAAAAGTCCTCCATTTGATGTAGTTCATATAGCTGCTTATGCACCGACTCCGTGCAGCGCGCGCACACCACGTAGCTCTCCTTGGCTTCGCATTCGTCTGTAATTCGAGAAAGATAACACAACTGTCATTATTATTATTCAAGGAAGAATAACTGGGGAAACTTACTAATTAAATGGTAGTTGAGCGCAGCTACCTCCAGCACCTGACTACATTGTGGGCACTTGGTGAGAAAGGGACAAGTCTTCCAATAGTGACGATCCAGTTGGCCAGCATCGCTCCCAGGGCAGCTCCAGCCACAAAACATGCAATTGCTATAATGAAGGATTCAGCTTAAATACGGGACTTTCTAATTACCCTGTGTGGTGCTCACATCTTTGGCGTTGTCTCTTCAGTGGACTCGGAGTTGGTTGCGGATCCCTTGCGTGAATTCGAGGCCGACTGCATGGAGCGCTTCAGTTGCTCATTGTACTGTTGCTTGCCATTGCAGCTGACGTAGCCATTGTCCACCACGGAGGCACCCAATGCCATTCCGCTCTTGCTCTTCAGCAGCCGCGACGCGTCTGTGCTGGTTGTGGGCTGCATTAGCTCCGCATCATTGCCTGAATTGTGCACTTCTAGCAGCTCCTGCTTGCGCTCCAGATCCAGCTTATCAAACTCCGTGAACAGCTGGCGGTAGAGCAGATTGCGACGCGTAATGTCGTCGTCTGGTGGCAGCTGCTTGCGTACCAGTCGCGGATTCACCTTATAGACGAGCAGCAGTATACGCTCAGCCACCTTGCGTACTGGCTCCGCTGGATGATGTATGCCCGAGCATCCGCAGTCGGACAGAGCCCGACATGTCAATCCGCTATGCTTGTCAGTGCTAATTCCTTGGGTGTTCACCAATTGCTCGAGCATTTGTAGCCGGCTCATGGCTAGACGCTGATGCGTTCCAGAGCCAACGCTTCGCGACAGCGCAGGTGCGACCAGGTGCTGCTCGGCCACCTGTGGGCATGCGGCGATGCTGAGTATGGTGTGCTGTGCCAGCGTATGCAAACGCGCCGAGGGATCACCCGACTTTGCCAGCAGCTCTGGCAGCAGACGATCCACGCATCGGGCCACCTCATTGGGCGACACGCGACCGGGCACATATTCAAGGAACAGCACCCGCACCGTTTCGGTCGCCTGATTAAACACCGAATAGACAGCATCTCGGACGGCACGATGCAGCAGCAAAGCAGCGCTGCGTGCAACTTTGTTGGGACTGGCTGCATGCTCATTGCTAGCCGCTTCATCCGTTTCCTGCTCCTTGAGAAAACTGCGCAGGCGCACTAGGCCATCCTCGCGATCCTGAAACTGTCGCGAATAGAATAGCTCAACCTGCAAGAGATCACATCAGAAAACCATGGACTTCGAGGCTGGTTAACCGGTTGGGCAATCTTACCAGTTCGCTGCCAAATACCAAGATGGGCAGCGCAGCTTGTCGACGCTCGCGGTCATTGAGACGGGAACGGCTGCGATTGGGGTCCGCTTCGAGCAGCGCGTTGCCCTGACACTCCCTTAAAAATTCATTAGTATTTGAGCTAAACAGTTAATGGTAAAGGAACGAGACAACGTTTACGGAAATGGAGAAATAAAAAGAAAAAAAGCAGCGTAAACATCGACGACAATTACTCTTACTGAGGCGTTTCTATAACTATTTGTTTGTGTTGTGCTGCTTCCAACTCATGCCACATGCAAACTGTTCCCTAATCACAACAACAACAGCAATAGCTACAGATTGATCTGTTTCATATACTCAAACTTACTGCCTCAGCGTGGGTATCGCTCGCTCCTCGTAATCCTCGTAAGAATTGCGCGGTGCACTTTTATTTCGCCTCCTTAGCGATCCTTGGCGACTGGACATGGGCGAGCTATGGCGGGATGCCATGGGCAGGCGCGGCGACTGAGGCAGCTCGTCGTGGGATTTAGCATGCAGATGAAGTGCAGCAACAGGCGCAACTATGGCAACCTCATGGCTGGGCGACTTTTCAAGCTGCACACTGCTGGACTTGGGATTGCTGACAGCCTCGGCCAGAGCGTGAGCCACATCCTGAAGACTCGGTGCAGCTGGAAGGCTAGGTTTACCGCCCGCATAGATCTCGCAGCTCTGATCGTTCTGGCTGAGTGCTCCATCGTTCTCGAGCAGCTGCTCCACTTGGAGTTGCTTGAGCACACAGGCGCGATACATTTCGATCTGCTCCTTGCGCAACTTGGCCGCACTAAAATCTTCCTGTTGCACCGCCTGCCGCTTGGCCAACGCATAGCGACCCAAGCGCTCGCCCGCCGTTCGCAGTGCCGTCATGCAAAGTTTTAGTTTGCGCGCATATTCGAATCTCTCCATGCTGACTGCCTTAATCTTGCGCTGTTCCAGTTCGCGTATGTAATGTACAATGGACTCCTCCACGTACATGGAAAATAGCAGATCATCGCATATAGAGGCCAGGGCTAGTTCACCCGTGGCTGTGTCTATGGGCGCCGACTCGGTGGCCAGATGCTCGTCGCCTTCATTGAGGGCTGCCGTTTCCAGATCCTCGCCGAGCACATTGACCGCTATCAATGCAATCTGCTGGGTGCTATTCAACTCATTGCAATGAACGCCAATCAGACGCAGCTTCAAGTGCGTTCCTCGCCTCGGATTCACTGTCACGCTCTGCAACTCGCGGGATTTGTAGTTGGTATTCGCATTGTCGGCGAGCGCGACAAAGCCAAGAAAATCAAAGTACTGTGAGGACGGAGTGCTGGGCATAGACTTTGGGGAGTAGTGCAGCCATAGTTCCACTTTTTCGGCTAAAACAACAAATCTTACTTAGTTAACAGGAATTCCTCTACAAACAGCCAAACTCACGTATCAAATACTGATGGGCCAAGAGCTGGATGCGATAAATTTTAGCGGGTTGATGGAAACGCAATATGATGTCGTGTGTGCTGACTCCGCTGTCCACGGCACTGCGCCAGCCGTGTACTGTGGGGCCATGTGTATTAAGTTCGCTGGCTGGAAAGCCGGGGTCCTCATCTAAAACCACGCAAATAAAACAAAACGCAGGCTTAATTGATTAACATTAACATTAACAGTGTTGGTAAGCAACGAATATTGTGAAACGAAAGAATCAAATTGAGTTGGCAATGTTAACTCATTCTCATTTCAGTTCAGTTAGTTCAACAATCGTGAAGGAACTATAGTTTATAATTTGTATAACATTTACAAAAGTCTTAGATAAATTAATTTAAAACTTAATTAACAATCTGTGATCTCTTACATGAAGAATATTGTATTTCATCATTTTAATGAACTATTCAAGTGAAGCATATGACACATCTCTAATCATAACAAATGTTAGCGGCTGTCGGCTAGTAAGCCCATGTACACATAAATTAAACGAAAACAAAAACAAAACCTCTCCAGAGAGGTCTGAGAATGACGCTATCACACATACAAACAGCAACGATTACGTGGCTGTATATCGTTCAGACGCTCTTTATATGTACTATGCGCAGCTCACTGAGAATATAACTTAGTCTCGTTTTTAGTCTGCGACACGGCGGAACGCATTATTCTGCTTCACGGCTGATTTCAAGATGAAGCAAGCAACAAGCTCGGGTTCTGAGTCGTCACCATGGCTGTTACAAATTCAAAGCCTGCTAAACAGCATAAATCATATGCTGATCTTTATGGTGGGTGCCTTCTTCTTCACACTCGCCAGGAGTCTGGAATTTCAAGATACGGCCATGCACATGTTCATGACGGGCATAGGAGTAAGTAGTAGCCCGGAACCAACGAACCCACAACTTTAAATTGAAATCTCCATTATCATATCGAAACATTTTCAATAACATAACGTAACTATAAATTTAAATACCCCGTAATCATTGTTTTCATATCAATTTTAACTGTGCTGCTTATCATTGGTTTTGTCACCTTTATACCTTAATACTTTGTTTTTTTTTTTCAGTTTCATGTACTAATTGCTCAGGCATTGATGTCACACTATAAGGTAAACCGAATTACCCGCTGGCTCTCACACAAGAACAAATCCCGTTTGCATGGCGTGCTGCAATTGGTCGGTGGTTCGATGGTGCTGCTGGGCGCCTTGGGCAAGTTCTCCCAGAAGGATGTGCACTTTGACACTTGGCATGGAAGATTCGGTGCGTGTGCGCATAAATTTCACACCTCAGTGAGCACTAAACACGTCAGTTTAATTGACTTTCAGGTGTGGCAGCTGCCTTTGGGTGCGCTGCGAGCGTTGTTGGCGGTCTGGTTAACTTCTTCCAACCCAAATTTGCGTTGAAAGTATTTCCACCATCGGAAATGCGATTCCGTCATAATCTCTTTGGGCTGCTCAGCTTTACGATTGGCATGACGGCTATTTACCTGGGCTACTATTCAAAGTTCTTTACACGTGTCGTTGATCATGAATTTATACCTGCCCTAATGCTAACCACGGTATTGGTCTACCTCCTGACCATAATTGGGCCGGTGGGCTCGCTGCTAACGAAGCTCAAGTACCGCAGGCAAAAGTCCGCGTAAAAGGGGCCGTCGACTAGGTATACAAATTGGTGAAGGTTATGAGGCTACATGAAAGGGAGAATTCTCTTTCATTGAGTACAATAAAAAATGAATACAAAATAAACTTTCTAAAGCGCAACGAAGGCAATTTGAATTGTCAATTGGCTTAGCGCTTCGCGCTTGGCTCGTTGCCAAACAAATTCCTTGACTGCATATTTAATTGGATATGCGTTGCAGACATGCCAGACATATTATGACAAACCGTAATCTGTCAATATAATGAAGATATATGCAAACAATGACCATCATAGATTTCAAGTGCATTATCAGTTAGAGAGTATTCTAAAATTGATGTCTTATGTCTTTCAAAATAAATGTGTGTTAAATGTGTTCAATGGTTGCTCTAGATCAATATATAAATGTATAATTGTCATAAATAAATGTTTTGCTATCCCGTGAAATTACTTTTGAATGTTGTTTAATTAGGCGTCGCACTAGGCGTATGTGTGATTTTTTATCGATTTCTCAAGTGCAGCCAAATGGCGCGCGATACTCAGCGCTGGACGAGCGCATAGCTAATGGTAACTAAAATAAAAATGTAAAACAAAAATAAACGTAATTAAATAAAAGTAAATCACAATTATTTCTAAAGCACAGAACGATTCTATAATACTTAACATGTTGTTTACCTGAGGCAAATACCACGTTAAATGGAATTTTCTTGGCCATTGTGCAGGCAGTTACACTAAACACACATTTACTCAATTAAAGTCGCTAGGTTGTGCCTTTAGCAGCATCTATTTTATATTTAACACAAACTAAATTAAAATTAAATAGCGGTGCATACCGCCGTATCTGTGGTTACAATGCCTTTGCACAGTTGCAGTTAGTGCAGTTCATTGATAGCGCTGGTATATCGATAAATAACAGCTGTTTTCGTACTGTATTTACCAATACTGTTCGTTGGAATTGTTGCGCAGAATAATCGAACTAAATCTAAATTAATGTAAGTTCCAGTTCGTTCTTTAATTGAACGTTTGTTAAATTATTTGTATTGGACTAAGCAAAACAAAATGCCTCCAAATGGCCATAAATACAGCATTTTGTTGCCCACATATAACGAAAAAGACAATTTACCAATTATCATATGGTTAATTGTAAAATATATGAAAGCTAGGTAAGTTGAATTACTATCGAATAACCGAATTGATTAAAATCAAATTATTTTTCCAGCGGCTACGACTATGAGGTAATTGTGATCGACGATGGCAGTCCGGATGGCACATTGGATGTGGCCAAGGATCTGCAGAAGATTTATGGCGAAGATACAATTGTGTTACGGCCACGCGCTGGCAAGCTGGGCCTAGGCACCGCCTACATTCACGGAATAAAGCATGCAACCGGCGACTTTATTATTATATTGGATGCCGATTTGAGTCATCATGTGAGCGTAGATAATGGCACTGCACTGACGTGTGATATTTATATATGCGTGTGTGTCTCTTTACTTGCAGCCCAAGTTTATACCCGAGTTCATAAAGTTACAGGAATCGGGTGACTACGACATTGTCTCCGGCACTCGTTATGCTGGCAATGGCGGCGTTTACGGCTGGGACTTCAAGCGCAAGCTCATCTCGCGTGGTGCCAACTATCTGTCTCAGGTGCTGCTCCGACCCAATGCCAGCGATTTGACGGGCTCATTTAGGCTGTACAAGAAGCCGGTGCTCGAAAAGTGCATTTCCAGCTGCGTCTCTAAGGGCTACGTCTTCCAAATGGAAATGTTGGTGCGTGCTCGTCAGCATAATTTCACCATAGCCGAGGTGCCCATCACTTTTGTGGATCGCATCTATGGCACCTCCAAGCTGGGCGGCACTGAGATCATTCAATTCGCTAAGAATTTGCTCTATCTTTTTGCCACCACCTAAGACAGAGAGAGAGAGAGAGAGAGACGACAGAATTGATCGGAGAACCATAAGAATTAACAACAATAAAGCTAGATGACTTAATGAATCTTTAATTTATAATTTCTTTTTGGTTATTTCTTTAGCCTTTTGTACATCTGGTAAGTTTTTTTTTTTCAAAAATTTTACATACAACTAATGAATTATGCATGAGAAGATTTTTTATGTGATATTTATATAATTCGGATTTATAATTTCTTTGCATTTCTTTTCTTCTTTTTTTTTTTTTTTTTGTTTTGTTTTCATAAATGTACGTTTAATTTGAATAATGATATCTAAGTTTAATTGATTCAGGCAGCTGTATCAACTTTTAATTACTTAAGTTAAAAACTTTGTGCTGGTTGTCGGGATTGCCATACAAGGTGCCACAGTCATCCTCGAGAGCATTGGCCGAGCTGCCTCCATAGTTCTTCAATGCGAGCGTTAGCAGATCATTGCGATCCACAAGGGCGAGCACAACATATGCACCGTTTGGCAAAATCTCGCAGGTGCTGATCTTCGCTGGTGGCTTAAAGACGGCCAAGGACTTAGCTGTAAGCCAGATGATATGAAATAGCATAAGAATTCATTGAGAGGCTAGATGTGCTTTGACCCACCTGTGTTCAACTCCCACAAGCGTATTGCACTGTCACGTCCCTCCTTGTCGAAGGACAACAGCACTTTACCGAGTGGATCCAGTTTCAAGTACGTGACGGGCGCATTGTGTCCGATGAGCGTGCACTTGCAATTTCCAGTGACCAGATCCCATATCAATATCTTGGCATCCTCCAGGCCAGCGATGACGCAGGCATTCAGCTGAGAGATGGCCAATGATACTGTATTGCAGCTGGGCTTCCACTTCTTGAACAAGGTGCCGCTCTGCAGATCGTAGACCACAATGAAATTTGGCGTTGTCGGTTCGTTTAGCTCCTTGGCCACCACGCACACATAGGATCCCTCGTGGGTAATGGCCGATAATGAAGTGACAAAATCGTGGTGGGGTATGCGCAGATCGTAGAGCAGTTTACGCTGCGATAAATGCCAGACGAGCAGTGGGAATGGCTTTTGCGTCTCATCGCCGCAAACCAAAATTCTACAAAATTCAAGTATTTGAATATGAGTCAAATGCTAAGTCAGAATAATTCTTCGCTTGCTCACCGTCCGTCCCCCGAGACGAGCAACGAGTTCAGGAACCGATCCTCGCCCGCTTTGAAGGTGGTTACACAGTCGCCCGACTCCAGGTTCATCAGATTCACATACATGCGGTTGCGTGAGAGACAAACCAAATGATTCTGATCGTGCAGGCCGAAGTAGGGCATCTTCTGGTTCATGACGCCCTTCAGTGTGACCTGCGAATGGTAAGTAAATTATGATAATTAATAACTATATTATCGAATCAGCAGTAAATCATACCTTAAACTTGCCCTCGTCCAGGTTGATGACCCGAATCTCGCGACGACACAGCACAGCCGCCTCGTAATTGCCCACTGGGCACATGGCTGTCGGCTGCTGAATGCCCTGGAGCTCGCGTATGCGACAACAGTTCTTCACATCCCAGATGCAAATCTCAGCGCGCTCGGTGCACAGCGACGCCACATAGCAGCCCGGCTGCGGCAGATTCATCAGCACATCGTAGCCCCTGACAGCTGGTGTGGCATTCGATTCGTCAACGTTAGCCTCATTGTCCTTGGCATCCAGATCGGCATTGAGTATCTCAAGAAAGGCGAACTCCAACTCATTTGTGTACTCCCACCAGGAGCGTATTTTCTCATCGTCCTTCAGGCTCTCGTCGTCCTTGAAGCGTGTCTTCAGATAGTACTTCATAAGCGTATAGAACTGTTGACCATCGTAGCTCAGCTCGTGGAGGTAGCGCACCAGAAATTGCTTCAAGAAATTTATATGTACATAGCCCGTAGAGCCCTCGCTGCCTGCCAGCCACTCGGCATGCAGAATGTCATGCATCAGATGCGCCGGACCCGTGGCATGCACCTTGTTGGCTATCCACTGCAGGTCCGTAAAGTAGAAACAATTGAAGAGTATGTCGATCTTATGCGGCGCCGGCTTATCCTCGATCACCGCACAGAAATGATGATAAGGCAGTTTTAAGTACTTCTGATAGTTGTAGCTGCAAGTGTGAATCAAGTTAGTTAGGGAGTACTTTGATGTTTTGGTCTCGATTTGAGTTTCTCTTACGTTTTGACACCGGCGCTGCCTTTGAACTCGCTCTCCTGACGATCGAAGTAGTCGCGCAGCGCTTCATGTACCAGCCACTGCTTCTGCGCATACCTCGACAGGACGGCGCGTCCAAAGCTCCTGTCCGCTATTCTAATATTTTTCAGATTTAAAAGCATTGGTCCCATCAGCCAGCAGAACTTGGACCAAATCTTGAAGACGACCTGCGCCTCCAGCTGTGTGATCTTTTGAAAAACGCCCAAGCAGTCGCTCTCCCGTATGCCCCACGGCGACAGTCGCACAATCAGCAGCATCAGCTCCACCTGATCTGCCGCAAACTTCGTCTCCAGCACCTGTAATATCTTGCTGGATATATCCCCGATCTCGCTAATTGGCTGCGCCACATGGCCCAGCCAGGCGAGCCACCACAGCGACTTGGCATGGTAGGGCGTCTTGCCGTGCAGCGACTTCCAATCGTCGGGCAGCTTCAGTGCCCCGTTAGCTGCATAGAAATCGCCGCCGCCGGAGCTGAGTATGTCATGCCATTGGCGCTCGGTGAACTGGCGCAGACGCAGGAAACAGCGCTGTGGAATGCCCAGCTGCGCCAGCGCCGCGAGAATATCGAATGAATCGCTCTCATCCTCCTCGTCCTCCCGCTCGCTGACCGTCAATATCAGCTTGCCGCAGCTGCCCAGCTGCAGTGGCAGCCAATCGAGCGCCGCATCCCGCTGCAGCTCATCCAATCCGTCTATGATGAGCACATAGAAGCGCTGTTGTCTACCCAAAATCGCTTTGATCACGCCTGCGTATGCCTCGAGGGTCTGTGGACGACCTTGAAATGTTAAACTCGACTTTTTACTCATGTTTGTTCGACTTACGTGTGGCACCTGACACTGCTGACCCGTCTCCAGCACCGACATCTGATTGGCTATCGATCCTAACAACGAGGTGATGTCCGAGGAACGCGCGCTCAAATTGGCATATCTAAGAAGAGAATAGATTATAATAATAGATTATGCTTAGGTAAATATTCTTAGGCTAGGAGCCTGCTCAGCTTTACAAAGGAATTACCCAAATTGGTAAGCTAGCTTATTTCATACTCTTTTGAACAGACTGAACCCATAGGAAAAGTGAAGACTTTTTCTAGAGACGTCTAGCCTACAGACATACCATTTAAGATAATATTTTAATCATGGCTAGATAATTTTTCATTTAAAATGTACCCAATATTTATAAGAACTTCCGACAACCGAAGTTAATTACCCAAAATATTAAATATTTTTTGTTTACGAGCTTCAATTACTTTTCCTGCGAGACGAAATCATCTACCCAGCGAGTTCGCTAGACTATATATTAGATTCCGAAGGCTAGGAGTTTTTCCCACATGACAAAACCCATCAACCCTACAATTTTAGATCTAGGAGTATATTAGGCTAGACTAGCCAATTAAAATATACAATATCTACTGAGCTTTTAATTAACTAGACACATCGACTATGTATATGGCTTCAGCTATTGGCTTGGTTCATAATTATTAACTTTTATGGGTTACTTGTTTGATGAAATCGTAGGTACTTAGATATGTAGATAAACAGGCAGGCATCTACCAATCTATATATCGACATTGAAAAGAAGGTTTCTTGATGCAGAGGGATCGGAATGAGCAAATGAATATTCTTAAATTCCAACCCTTTAGGATAAGCCTTAAAATTGGAGCGAAAGAATTTATTTATCTAGGGGGAATCAGCTGATATATTACATCAAATCTCCACTTTCTACATCCACAGCACCTTCGTAAATTTATCCTACTGAGAGTTTGGTAACGCTATTTCGGCTATAAATTTCAAGCTCACCTGAGTACTAGTTGTGCCTCTGGCTTCCATCGATGCACGTTCTCCATGATTTTAGACACGAGCACACTTTTACCGCTCCCCCGGGCGCCCGACACCACCAACGGCTGGGAGGTGCCGTCGCGTATGTAGCGCTTCACATCGTTCATAATGTCGAAGTTGGCCGAGTTTTGGGCTAGCAGCTTGGAGTAGTAGCCGATCAGCTGCAGCTCCTCGAGGAGGACACGATCCACGCCCAGCGTGTTGTAGGGTATACTCTTCTGCAGATGCTCCTCGAAGATGCCCGCCAGCGACTTGTCCAGCAGACTCTCGATGACCGAGGACAGTTCATCGTCTAGGATATTCATGGTGGGTAGCATTCGGATGAGATTCTTTTCGCAGAGCTGATTCTTTAGCTCCGCGTAGATGCGTGTGATGCGACGCAGTACCTCCAGCTCCAGCTGTGTGGCATTCTCTGGGGCGCGCGAGTAATGGGCGCCCGTCTGTATCCATATGCAGCGCTTGGCCAGCTCCTGGCTTATTAGCACCGTGTTGTTGATCTCCTGCTCGACGACGGTGGTCAGATACGAGTCCTTCACATCGTCCGAGAAGAGGCGCAGCAGCACCGCCAGCAGCTCATTCAGCTCGTCGTTCACCTCCGTGGAGTACGGATCGATTTGTTGCGTGTAGAGCCGATGGCACATGGGCTGGTAGGAGTTGTCAATGGTGTACCACTTCTCCAGCAGCAATTTCTCTGCATCGCTGGCGGCGCTCAGCACCGAGGTGAAGTCCTGGCTCTCAATTGTCAGCGGCAGCATGGGTGTGCCCAGCGTGGAGCCAAGGAAGAGCACTGGTATTATGTAGGCGTCGGTCGCATGGCGCGTTATCTCGCACAGGCAATTGGCTGCCTCCTCGTGGCCGCCCTGCGCCTCCAGTGGTGTTTGCGTCCAGCGCTTCACCTCCTGCAGCCTGGAGAAGTCCTTCTTCGCATTGCCATTCGCCTGCTGCTCCAGCGACGTCGTCATCGCTGTCGCCTCCGCCTCCTTGGTCAGCGCCTCGCTGTCGTGCACATCGGC